ATGTAAGGCATGAATTCTAACCAATAACACAATATCCCATCCAGGCCTCACGTTAGAGCTTCAGAAAGGGACAGGGCTGTCTGGGTTACTAACAAGTCAAAGAAGACGGTGACAGAAACTCTGGGTTTGTTACTCCAAGTCAGTTTTCATTAGTAGCCCAAAGAGTCATGACGTCCCACTCAGCGACCCTGTCCTGGCAAACAGGCGATCCCTTTCGAAAACCCCCTGGTGCCTAGGCCGAGGGCGTGACCATTGCAGAGTGTGTCCTGGAGGAGGCTGGGGGCCAATTCCGAAGATCAGGAAATTCTCCATTGGCCCGTGCTCCATTCCCTTCCTACCCTGGAAGGGGTGGTGTCGCCCAGCCCAACCTCATCTCAGGGGAAGACTGTGCCGGCCGCCTGCCCTCACCCTCTGCCCACCTTCTCAGCTGCAGGACGTGGCCCCGCTCTGCCCACGGCAGCTCGCCTACAAGTGGGTCAGCGAGGGTGGAACTGTGACAAAAATTCATGCAGTACCGAGTGGGCTCGCAGCAAGTTCTGAAGGTGACGCTCTTGGCCTGTCGTGGGATCACTCCAGTTGGGCTGTGACTCACCAGTTTCAGAGCCAGGCTTCATGCCTGTCATGCATGCCAGCTCCTCTATTTTGTTTGGGGCATGATGGAATCTGGCTCCGTGGTCTGGAATGCGCTCCCCACTGAAGGTTTCCACCGCTCTCAGAACCTCCGCCCATGAGCACTTGGTAACGTGGTTCTGCCTCACTTAACACCCCCCTGCAGTGGCCGGGAAGGAACAGGCCCAGGGATGGGGACAGGGCCAGCAGCCCTTAACCCACAGAAGCATAGGAGAACCTACGTGCCTTCAGGTGACAACGACACCAAGCTGACTGGTTAACTTAAGGATAACTTAAAGGAACTGAGTCAGAAGCCAGGCCGACCCAGCTCGTGGAAGGCTTTGAAAGATGAGCTCAGAAACCTGCTTTCGTTCTTTAGTGGGCATGACGTTTTGGAACACACAGGAAAAGGAAGCTCATGTGGTGGCACTTAACCTAAACTGGCTGCATAACATCGAGGGGGCACCACCAGGGGAAGAGAGACCAAGTGAACCCCCCTCCTTCCCAACTCTGGCCCCGGGGGATGGTTAGGACCAGTCCCTCTCTGACCTGGTCTTCAGTTCCCGTTCTGTGTCAGGTGGAGCATCATTTTGCTGTGACAGCAAGACTGGCTTCGTGGACACGTGACCCCTGCAGTCACACAGGGACCCCGTACTTAGGGTTTAACGCCCTGGAGCTGCTGTGCTCAAATTCTGAATAATGTCGTCTCTGCATCTGTGGTTTGTAGGTGAAGTTGGGTGGGACAGTCAAGCAGGTGCTGGGGGCTGGAGCCTCGGGTCCCCCGTGATCCGGCCTCCTATGGTGCGACAAAGGAAAACATTTTATATTTTAGTACCTTGAACAGCACGTTTTTCTGCTTTTTGAACAAGGGGCCCACGTCTACATTTGGCCCTGGGCCCCAGTTGGAGGAAGAGAAGCCTGCCAGCTCGGCCAGCCTGCAGGGGGAGCTGCCTGCACTTCCTGGCCTGGCAGGCCCGGGGGCGCCCTGGGAGTCAGGCTGCAAGGCTCCTTGAGGACACTCCAAGTAACACACCACAGGAGCATTTCACAGCAGCCCCGGCTACCGAGGGCCAGCCTCCAAGCCATCGGGCCCGCAGCAACCCTCCAACCCCACCATCAGCCGGCAGGGCGCGGCCAGGCCACACCGCTCCCCCCATGCGCCTCTCTCTCCTACTCCAAGTGTGGTCCGAGGGTGTCTGTGAACTGGTACGGTTAACCCTAAGATAAGCAGAGACTGGAGTAAGCATTTGCAAACCTCTAAAACAATTTGGCAGGGTGGTTTTACGTCTGTTGACTCTATCAATAAAAAATTAGGACGTGTATTTTTTTCTTGGTTCATTTTTTCTAGAAATTTATTTTTATTGGATTTTACAAGCTGGCGATTGGAGGGGTGGTTCTGGTTTTTGACTTGGAGGGTGCTTTTTATTACGGAGAGCTTCCAGGGACGACCTTTCTCCCCTCTGTGACTGGCGGGCCCCAGATCCCCTTGCTCTTTCACTGCCCCTGTCACAAGCTGGCATTTCAATCGTCCCGGGCATTTTCCGCAGATTTAAATAGGAAAATCTTAGGGACATTTAAATTCATGAAAGGCAAAGCCACATTTCCATATGAATGCCAGCACGCGTGCACCATAACCGGCTATTTGCAGAAGGAAGTCATCTCAGCTACTGCTCAGGATGAAATGAAGACGTATTTTTATATTGAAATCATGTAGTTTTTTCCTTAAAAGTCATGATGAAATCTCCCATTCATGGATTGAGAATGTGTTTCAGCTCAACTGCTTTAAAAAATAGCTATGTGTACTCCTCACTTTCAAAAGTGGTCAACTCTATTTCAGAAGGCGTTATTCGGGTGCCCTCCACGGGCCCAGGAGTGAGCCACTTGTCCTCTGGGGGCTGTGGAGGACTGTCTTTACTACTTTACTCCTTGAGTTGGGGAAAAACAGCCATCACCTCAAGGCTGCCTGTTGCTGAACCACAGTAGACAGTGGCGCTTCGGGGAAGGCTCGAACATGAGGTGGGTCTATCCACAACCTTACCTGAGCATGTGACTAGTGCTGGCCTTGGAGAGAGCCGCTCTGCGGAGGCAGGGAGCGGTGGGTTCAGAAGATTTCATTAAAAAGAATTCTCTGGGGGGCGGCCCGGTGGCGCAGTGGTTAAGTTCACGTGCTCTGCTTCGGCGGTCTGGGGTTCGCAGGTTCGGATCCCGGGTGCGGACCAATACACCGCTTATCAAGCCATGCTGTGGCAGCGTCCCATATAAAGTGGAGGAAGATGGGCACGGATGTTAGCCCAGGGCCAATCTTCCTCAAAAAAAAAAACAACAAAGAATTCTCTGTGCATTCTCGAGTGGCACGTTTATATCACTCTCATCCTTCCCTTCGTTTATTCAAGTTAATATTGAAACTGAACACCTAGAAGGCCAGAGGCTGTGTGGTGAGCAAAGGGCTGCAGCCTGCAGGGGCACAGACAAGTACGGGCCACCGTGATCCCTGGGGACCAGGCGGGACGGGGAGGGGCTTACAGCCAGGGGCAGGGAGGGGAGAGGAAAAGAGCAGCCCTCAGCACGCGGCTAAAGGTGGAAGAGGAAACACAGCTGGGAGAGCAGCAGAGGGAAAGAGAAACACGCAAGCTGAGCGAGCTGTGTGTGTGAGCAACGGTACGTAATCCACTTAGCGTTGACAGAAATTTTATTTTTAGAAGGGAACTTTTTAAATGTGTAAGTAACTTTGGTTATTAAAACAACCAAACCTGGGGGCCGGCCGGGTGGCGTAGTGGTTAAGTTTGTGCGCTCCGCTTCAGCAGCCCAGGGTTCGCCAGTTTGGATCCTGCGCACGGACCTACTCACTGCTCATCAAGCCATGCTGAGGCGGCGTCCCACAGAGATGAGCCACAACTCTACAACTATGATACACAACTATGTGCTGGGGCTTTGGGGAGAAAAAACACAAAGAGGAAGATTGGCAACAGATGTTAGCGCAGGGCCACTCTTCCTCAAAAAAAAAAGCAAGCCTACTTGTGAGCACAACTGCCATCAGAAGACCCTCATCTTGTCTGCCTTCTTGGGAGAGCGAGCCGGAGCCCTCTGTGGGAAGGGCGTGAACTGCGGCCTTGCCCTGACCCCTGCCCTTTGGGCCGAGAAGGGGAAGCATCTGCGTGATCTTCCCGTGCACAGGCACTCGGCACTCCCTCTCTGAGAGAAACGGGCGTCATGCAGACTAGAAGGTGCCTCTTTCTAAGACGGAAGTAGGAGAGCCTGCGCTCCACTGTGCAACTTCCACGTGCAGCCCTGCTCCTCCAGTGTGAGCCATTTCATACTCAAGGACAAATCCTGGGATATTCCTTAAATTGCAGGATCTGCAAAATATCCAGGCCGTGTTTGCTGGGGCCTGGCCTCGGCCTTCTGTGCGCGCCAGGGGCCTGCTCCCAAGCAGGGTGGTCCCTGCTCTGCTGGGCGCCGTCTCAGATTCCAGCTGCAGGACCGCTGAGTCCAACCCTGAGAAAACCGAGAACACGCAGCTCCATTTGGAAATTTTCTTTTTTAACATAATGGAAACGTGCAGAAATAATCAACATTCTGCTTGAGTTTTTTTTAAAAAAACATTTTATTTCAAAGGGCAGATAAGTATCTCGCTAGGTAACAGAGAAAACAAGGGGCCAGAGAACAATCGGAGTCGGTCTAATAAATAACCAAATGCCTTTTACGTTTCTCAAACTTCTATAACATAGCACACATTTTAAATAAATAAATCCACTCTGGTGCTGGGTAGCTGAGACAGTTCTGGTGTCTGGCGTGTTGTGGAGGGAAACAAGTCGCTGGACTGGAGACCCGTCCCCTCCCAGGCTTGGCCGCATCCTCCCAGCAACCATACCGGGGACCAGCAGCGTGGTGGCCCTTGGGACTCAGATGACAGGACTCTCCGGGGTGTCCTGGGACTGGCATTCTGACCCCAGCAGGCTCAGACGGCCTCAGCACTGTTCACTCCTCGACCGTCAGTTCTCAGGCCGGTCCAGGAGAGGACGCATTGGGAAGGTCTTTTGGGGGATGTGATGGTCTAATTCTGTTTGGGTTGGATCCAGCTGCCAGTCTCCTCCGTCCTTTCAGAGGCCGGGCTCTTTGCCAGCTGCCTTCCACGCCCGCAGTGTCCTGATTATCATCCACGCGGCACCTCCAGGTGTCACCAGGCTCCTGCTGGCGCGGAGCCTGCGTCACCCCGCCCTAACATTCCATCTGAAATACCTGAGAGACTGCGGCCCCCGAGTCCCCACACCAGTCCCGGCGTGTCACACGTGATGGCGGCACAGCTGCTGAGCGCCCTGCGAGGGGCCCGCTCATCGGCCGTCTGTTCCGGCTCAGCCTATTGCAGACAGCACTGCTCAAGAACGTCCTCACTGCCGTCCTGAGCGCACGGCTCGTCTAAAGTAGTACCAGGAATTCTCAAGGTGGCTTTTGTGTCTTTTCCAGGTGCGTGTGCAAAAGGCAAGGGTACAGGATTCTTTTCAACACAGGATCCTTTATTGGAACTTTTCCTTGAAGGACAGTGTGTGAAGGATGGGCCAGCCTCCCTCCATGGGACTCGAGTGCTCAGTGTTCCTTAAACCTGAAAGAGGGTCAAACAGCAGCTGGTTACACAGCCAGCGGTCACAGGAGAGATGCTGAATTCACGCCAAGTGTACAGACCCCATGGAGCGCCGGTCCCTCCCCTTCTGCCAGGGTCTTCCCAAAGCGAACTGGATGGTGGACAAGTCTCACCGTCTTACCACATCCCCACAGCCTTGAGGGGACAGAGGAGAGGAGAGGAAGAGAGGAGGTGGGGCAGGAGGCCAGGCTGAGCCCTCATATTTTTCACTGAGATTTTGAGGATTGGCACGATCACATCCACCCCGAGGTGTTTATTGGGAAAGGAAAATGAGCGCGAACGAGACGGGCAATGACAGGGACAGGGATGACTTTTCTTTTCTTTCTTAAGAAAAGCCAGGTGTGGAAGGCAGATGAGCCAGGGTGACATTCTAAAGCTGCGCTTTTATCACATGGGGAGAAGGGTCCCGATGGGGGACTTACGGAACTTGGTCCCCCGTCGCGGACCCCGGGCAGCTCAGCTCCTTGTGTATAAGGCGGATCAGGAACTGCATGTGAAACAAAGACGAGACCCCCGTTACTGCTGGCCGAGACCCTGAGCAGACGGCGGGCGTGCCTGCTGTCACTGCAAAGACGCCAGTGCCAGCCCGCGCCCACGGGAACCCATCCTGCCTGCGGCTCTCCCCCAGCACACACGGGGTCTGCTCCAGAGAGACGGTGCTCCTCAGAACAGAAGGACTGCAGGCCTGACACAGCCGCGGGCAGCCTCCCGCACAGCCAGCCTGAAGGCCTTCCCACGCAGGGCTGCTGCTTACTAAGTCCTGTGAACCACCACTGACGTGCTCCCGGAAATAAGGCTCAGGACACATTTCAGCCAGAATGACTTCCGGGTTCAAGTAAGCTTTAAAATGAAATGAACCCAATCCTAACATGTCCAAATTGGAAAAAGACAGAAAATAAAGACAAGGTGACCCACAATGATGGTGACCCTGGGGAGGACTCTGAGAGCCAGGTGAGCACTCCTCGGCACTGGGAGGCTGAGGGAGCTGTCGCTGGAACAGCCATGTTTCATCCAGAAGCCTCTTGGCGAGCGCCTGGGCCCCCCGACCCAGGACCCCGAGTGCTGCTCACTGGCCCCCTCCTCGAGCGGCTGTCCCTGGGAACCATGGACAGCTCTGCCTTTGTCGGGGGTGGCTCTTTTCCTTCAGGTCCCTTGTCACGCTAGGAGGCTCGGAGTCAATTTACGAATCCACACTTATGACTACGCTTACCCCAAATTTATCTGGTTTTCTTTGTGTTTGAGGCTGTGGATCAGTCTTTCCCCGAGCGTGACATCAGCCCTCAGAAGAGCTCCCCCAAGGGTGTGCAGTGCCCTGGGGCTTAGACACGGGGTCCGGAGGGAAGCCCTGCTTCTAGAGGCCCCCACTTCTCAGAAGGCAGCAGGTGCTCTTGGGCCCAGGGGGACCCCTGGGCCAAGGGGCTCAAGGCAGTGGGGGTGCTGGAGGAGAGTTTTGAGGGGCTCCTTAAAAACCCATGAAGCTACACAGGACTAAGCCTTGGGAGAGAACTCCGGAAGGCAGAAACGTTTATTTTCTTAGACGCTTATGGTTCAAGCGGGAGCTTACACGTCCCTCGTATGATGTGAGTTCAGGCTGAAGAGGACAGGCGTTTCTCCTACAGATACAACGCAACCCAGCTGCCCTGCCTGACGCAGGAGCAGTGTTCATACGGCTGCAGTGGTGAACGTAGCGGGTGGGAACACGTCAGGGGCTTGGCAGCAGCAGTAACAGTTTTGTTACTAAACTGATCACCGTGAATCTGAACCTCTACCTCCAGCTACCAGCATCTGCCTGCTGAGTCTGAGCTGCTGTCTTATCAACATAAAATCTTCCAAGTCCAGAATGTGAAAATTGTTAGTAGGAGGAAGTCTATGATTATAAAAAGCAGATCCTTAAGAGAAAGGAAAAAGAGGAGGAAAATGACAAGTGTTATATGTGGGCATGGAATAAACTGTAAACAGTAGTAACAATTCTGAAGGACAAAGGCCAACTTCTAAAACATGACAGAAGTTCTGGTTTGTGCAGGCAATACCCAATGGGGAGGGCAGCTGCCAGCTCCAGGTGCCTGCCTGGTGGCTGGAGCCTGATGGGACACGAGTTGGGGAGGGTAAGGCCTATAGGTGTGAGAGCACGGCCACCAGGCTTGGATCACATGCCACGGAGAGTCCAGGTCCCCCAGATCCACTCCCTGCAGGGTGACCTGCTGAGATCACTGGGGTTCCCAGCCTCAGACTTTGAAGGAGGGAAACTGGTCTATTGACCAGCAAAGAGAAGAAGACAGGTCTGGTTTTTAAGTCTGAAAAGACTCATCCTTAGTGGAACTGCCCTCCTGCCTTCTCCCACTACGAGATAACCCCCCGCCTCTCCTGACACCTTCTGGCTTTAGGTCTCTTTCATCTATCCTAGCTAGTCCAGCTTCCTTTCAGTTCTTATTTGCCTGTCATGTATTTTTCTATTCTTTCCCTTTTGTTCTGACATTTCTTTCTGTCTGAGGTGTGTTTCTTGAAAATAATTGGAGTCTGGATTTTTAGATCCAACCTGCAAGCTGCTGTTAATGGGGAGACAGTCCTTTGATAACGATGTTTGGATCGGTTCCTCCACGAGCTTGGTGTTTACCGTCCTCTCCACGCTGCAGTGGCTGCTTTTTGACCCCTCGGGTTCTCAGCTGTTTTCTCCTTAAACATTGCTTCTATCCCAGTCCTTCTGGTTTCTTCCTCTTGAATTCCTAGTAGACCGTGTCCGACCATCTCATTTGGTCTTCCATTCTATATTTAATCTCTCTTTAGTATTGTCCATCTCTTCCTCTTTTTGTGCTGCATTCTGGATAATTTCCTTATATGTCTATTCCACCAGCTCTGTCTTGTTCTTTTCTCCCAAATTCTGTTCCTTCTCTGACATTGTTAGTAATGTTAAATATACTTGTTTTTACAGTGTCTCTGATGACCCTTTCATCTGCAGTTTTGGAGGGTCTGATTCTGCTGTTTGTTGTGTCTGTCACCTCCATTCACAGTGGACTGTTTCCTCATCCTGGACCGTGAGCTCATCTTCAGTGGGGTGTGAGCTGTAGGAATCCCATGCAGCTGGGCTGAGGTTTGTCCCTCTCAAATGGTTTTGGCCTTGCTTCTGCCTAACAGATATATCACCGTTCCAGGACAATTTTACTCAATTTTCCTACATATTATATAATATTTACATAATATAAGCTCGAAAATTAAAGCTCATTGTAGGCAGGTCCATGGCTAAAAGTTCTCAGGGAAGATTCCCTCCAGCCTGGTGACAGGCTGAGATGACACGGATGCATGCTGTCTTCTGTACAGCGTGCAAACGTTCACCCTCTCACCGCGAGCACAGCCCTCCTCGGGGCCTGGCTGTACAAGGAAGTCTCCAGTTCCCACTCCCCACCGTGCGCCAGCCCAGTGCCTCGTCTCCTGTTCCTGGTGGGCATAAGCCCCAGCCCTCGAGTCCTGAGCCGGACAGCTCGCCCGGGCCGCTCCAGCATCAGCTGGCGGACTCGTCTGTGCTGCCACCACATTCTTGCGTCCTGGGGACAGCACTCCTTTCTTAGGAGTTCAGCTATGCATTTAAAAGGAAGTTTAATATATATTAGCTGGTATTTCTGAAATAGAAGAGTTTTCAGTCTTTAAACAGCCATAATGACGGAAGTTTCATTACTACTTAGTGGAAATGATCCGAGGACTTAACTAAAACCCTTAGGCATTTAAAAAAACAAATGATCTGAGGAACAGCCTTTTAAAACCTAATAGGTTCCTAAATTGAGAGTTGGTATTTGACTCTGTACGAAATAGGAGGAGCTGTTTTAGGGCTTCCTGGAATTAAAATACAAAACTTTCACTTAATTGATGGAGTTGATATTTCCAAAATCCTCCATTCACTTTACTGGGATCAGAATTTTTCTGGTGAAGCGAGAGGAGACACATGGCCTCAGGTCTGGGGACTTAGTGCACAAGCTGACTCGTAAGGTGACACCGTAGCTACTCTCGCAGGTGTGTGCTGCCTGCCTATGATTTCACAACTGGTCTTCTCTATCCTAAAGAAAACCTCAAATCTTCTCAGCGCAGGAGGGGCCTGGACTCAGGTGCCCAGAGAACAGGGGGCAGAAGCCAGGAGCACCCAGGGCCTGCATTGGCAGCCTCTGCTCCCTCTCTCTCCTCCACCCCTGTGGGTGCAGGGAGTCAAGCTGCTGCCCCCATGTGACTGACAGCAGGAGGAACGCTGGGACAATAATGGCCACCGTCTAGGAGGCCAGTCACTGTGCATCATCTTTAATTCCCACAATAACCCTGTCACTGGGTGCCATTATTCTGCCCATGTGAAAATACGGCAGCTGCAGGACACAGAGGCTAGGCAGCCTGCCCCAGGTGCACATGCGCCTGACAGGTGACAGGCCCAGGATCTGGAGCCAGGGAGCCCTGGCTCTTCGCCCCTCGCCCATCCTGCCTGAAACTACAGAGCAGCAGACCGACCTGCTTCTGCGTCTGGCATCCGTTTAAACCAGAAAGAGAAAGGGCTTGGGCCACGAACATGGAGGGAAGCTGGGATACGTCGCAGGCCTGAACTTCCCTGAGCGCTGCAGGAGTCCACGGGAGAAAGTGTCAGCAGTGTTTGCCTGGCATCCAGAGACGCTCACGAGAGGCTGCTTGATTAGAAGTGACACAACTCACCAGTAAGGCACAGGCGTCCGCAAACATCAACATGTAGAACACGTTGTTCCATCCCGACGGGGAGATGAGCCCCGCCAGCAGGGGGCCCAGGGCTGCTCCTGAAATGACACAAAATGGGTGGGCACAGCGCTGAGAGAGGCCTCCGGAGCGGGGGCGCTGACCACCACCGCCCCACAGACACACAGAGTTATCTCCCTCACGGGTACAGCAACACAGCTCACGCTCACCTACCAGGCTGCGGGGGGGGGGGGGCAAAAAGCTTAACAACACTCAGCACTGGGGAGCCGTGACTGACACAGCCTTCCTCTGGAAGCAAATCCACAAATACGTATGGACATTAAAATGTTCACTCTTCTGATCCAAAAATCCCATTTAAAAATTTATTATCAATAAATCTGAATCTAATGCACAATATTAGATATTCTTATGCTAAAAATATTATTTGGTAAAATATGAATAAGGTTTGTCGAAACTAATACCGTATCAATGTCAATTTCCTGATTCTGATAATTGTGCTGTGGTTGTATCAGGGAGTCTTTGTTTTTAGGGAATACATACTAAATACAAAGTTATTGGTAAAGGGGCAGCATGTCTGCAATTTACTTTTAATTAGTTTGGGAAAAATACGCATATGTGTATTTACAAGTCTATATGTTATGTGTGTATATGTGTGTTATAAATCTGTGTGAGAAAGAGGAATGGTGAAGCAGATGTAGTAAATGTGAATTCTTCGTACTATTTTTGCAACTTTTCTTAGTCTGAAATTGTCAAAATAATAAAAAAAAAACCTATAAAAACAAAGGAAAGCAAATATTCCTTGAAATATCCAAAGGATTTGTCTGTCTGTCTAGGAGTGTTCACTGCCGCAGTCTGGTCTTTATTTCCCTAGAGCAGACTGGAATAGTTACAACGCACGTGTAGGAGGCTGCTGTTTTGGCATGGGAAGAAGATGAATAATTTACCCCAGGTTATGACTGAGATCTAATCTCTGAGAGGTAGGATTACCAGGTCTTCCCTACATTATACGTCCTGATATTGTTTCAAGCATTTACAAAGAGCACCTACTACTTCTATAATCCGAGGGTGACTGTATGGGTTTTTGTCACAGAAGAACTTCCAGGTAAACAACGCAGACTGCTCATGGGTGCTTATCTCTACCCCTCCCAACACCACAAAACGGACCATAAGTGAATTTTGAAAATTATAAACCCACAGGAAGAAGGACAGATGAGAGAGGGCAGCGTTTCTGGAGGATGGCATTTAAAGGGCATCACGACTGACAACCTCCAGCTCTCCCAGCCCTAGAGAGACTCCAGGGACTCCGTGCTCAGGCGAGGCCCGGCAAAGCGCACGAGGAGGGCGGAAGGGAGGCAGGAGAAGTAAACGGGGGGTTGGTTGAGAACCTTATAAATCACTCGGAGATGTGTCCCTCCCCATCCTCTGGTCCCAGGTCGCTACTCCAGCACCTTAACCTCTGGAGAACTTGAACCAGAGGTTCTGGGCTCGAGGATACCAAGCCCAGCGTAGGGCAGGGAAGAGGCACTGACCCAGCACAGGAGAATGTGGGGAAGGCCACCAGCGTCCACCAAGCAGCGCCTGCCCTCCCACACAACAACGAGAATGCTGGCAGCTAGGTCCACACCCGCCGTGGGACTGGGGGGTCTCCTCCTCCAGGTTCCAGTTGGATCCCAAGACTGTGAAGACCAGCAGTTGGCTCACCCTCCCAGGCAGAAAGGGCTTCCAATAAGTGCTTAGTGGCTCATTCTTAAATATGAACACATAAGGGGACGGCCAAGATTCACCTGTGTCTGAGGAAAGCCTCGATGTGAAAGCAAACCTGCTGGGAGGAGGGAAATCTACAGGAAACAAACAAACTGAGGAGAAGAAAATTCCCAGGAAATTATAATACCCTAGGAGAACTAACAGAAAATTAAAGTTGAACCTCATGAAACTCCCACTTTTCTATCTGAAAGCCAATTAGATATTGGCAATTTCACATGATTCAATCTAACACACACTGCATCCAATAAGAACAGGATGCCCCGAAAGGGCAGAGAAACACCAATGAATATAAACGTTATGACAGCTAAAACACAAAGTTCAATAGAAAGGTTGGAAAGTGAAGTCAAGAACATCTCTGAGAAAGTAGAAGAAAAGAACAAAGACACAGGCAGGAAGGGAAAAAAGAAAGAAAAGAAAATGGAAGGATTAATCCAGAGAGCTCAACATCCGACTAAGAAGTTTCCCAGGAAGAAAAAACAGAGACAATAGCAGGGGGATCTTATCAAAGAAAGCTAGAGCCCAGTTTCCCCGAGATGAAGGGCATGTGTTTCCAGACTGCGTAGCCACCAGGTGCCCAGGGCCCAGGGGAGAAGAAGTGGGGCCGGGGAAAGCAGAGGTCCGACGGGAAGGCCTGGCTGAGGACGACATGGACTTCTCCACGGTGACAGGGAGGCTGCAAGACAACGGAATTCTGAAGAAAAGGACTTTCAACCTAGACTTCTATATCCAGACTGTCCACCAAGTGAGAGAGCAGAATCCTGACACCACAGACTTCCTGGTTCTCCAATCCACCTCCCGTGAACTGCTACTCAGGAAGCTACTAGAAGACATCTTCCACCAAAGAGGAGTAAACACGAGATCTAGAAACAGGGCCTAACGTGGGCAGGAGATGAAAGAGACCTGTAGGATGGTGGGGAAAGCAGCTCTGGGACGAGAGCTGAGCAGCAGGCGGAGAGTGAAGCGAGGGAGGAAGGTGGCCGTGGACGCCCACACAGGCTGATGGTGTGGGAGGCTGCGGAGGGGGAGCAACTGTGACAGAAACTTAAACAAAAGGGAAAAATGAGGCGTTCGTTGGTTTGGGGAAAAACAAAAATGTGCACATTAAGGATGCATAATTAAAGTTTATTTCTCGGCTTGAGAGTGAACACTATTACCACAGCCAGGGTACTTGATGGGGATGAGGGAAATGGAGAACGGGGTGGAAAGAGCCGGGTCCCCATCTTCCTTACTAGGAGGACAGCAGATAGTGTCAAAAACTGATGATTCAAGAAACATGTGGGAGAGACCAGAAGGAACGGTTGATAGTGACTGCGTCTAGAAAGAGGGGCTGAGGGGGCACAGGGCAGGGGACTGTCATTTTGCATTATAATAAGCTTGTAAGACTATCTGGCTTCTAAAGTTACAGTATATTTTACTTTGACAAAATAAAAACTAATGAAAAAATTCAGGGCTCAATTTAATCGCTCTGCATAAAACACATAAAAACAACAAGGCTTTCATCCCACTGGGATGTCCTTCTAAGTGCTGTGGATGCAGCAACGGATACCCTTGCGCCTGGAACCACACGGCTCTTGTGAACTACAAGAAGGCGCTGGCTTACAATTAGTCAAGCTTGTCTCCATCGAAACCAATATTTACAACATTTAACAAGCATCTGAACAACCTTCTCTCTGCCTTCTGTCCCACAGAGGCCTTTGTCTACGAGGGGTAAACTCCCCTGTGAGGGGATTTTCTGCTGATCAGAGTGCATTTCCTCTAGAGCCTGTCTTTGCTTCTGTCTGGCTGGGCAGCACTTATGGAGAGACATAATGATGGAGATGCCGGGTGGACAAGCGTGCGTGCCGTTTCCATGGTGACCATCTCCTCGGGTCCTCGTACCCTGGAGCTGGCAAATCCAAGGCCCCATCAGACCTGAGTGCAGGTGCTGCAGGCACCAGGTGGGTGCCACGGCTCCACCACAGTCAGTACGGCACGCAGACTAGTGAAGAGGTCACAGATGGTCCGAGTCGCCCCCTGCCGCCCCTCCTCGGGGTCAAAGGCGTCTAGAGCTGTGCTGTGGTTCCTCCCTCGTGGCTCAGAGCCTGCCCCCTTTACAGATGCAGATGACCACTAGCCATGGACTTCTGTTTCCCTCTTGTTTTGAAAAGAATATCATAAAAAATGTGTTTTTTCACCTAATTCGTAATTCCCCTCTTTATAAACTCCCATTTTCTGCTTTAACACAGTAATCAGGGATGCCAGCAGAGCTGCAAATTAGCTTTAAGAAAAGGGCTCCACAGTGGGAGCTGGACTGACTCCTAGACAAAGGTCTCTGTGAGACAGAAGGCAGAGAGGAGGCTGTTCAGGCACACAGTTCATTAGACCCGAGCTCAGCCCAGGAGTCTCTCGACTTCCAGCTGAGCGCGTCTTTCAGGCTGTGGAAGTTTCTCGTGTGCTAAGTAAGCCAGGAGAGCAGCAGGCATGCCCCACGCAGGGAGAGCCGTGCTGCCCCGCAGACGCCTGTCACGGGCACAGCACCTGCCTGCCTCTCCCAGACGTGTCCGCAAGCCCCAGGAGGTGCCCGGCAGGGAATGGTCTCACTTTAAAGTCAGCAGGGTGACCACTAGCACTGTCCAGCAGATTCAAAGTCACCCCTGGAACCAGCGAAATGAAGGAACTAATGTCGAGGATGGAAACGGGGCTGCTGTGACTTTGGGGACCATGAGAAGCTTGGGCCCAGCCTTCCGAAGCACAGCGACCTTGCCCGGTGCTGCTCGGAACAAGCAGGACCTACCCATGAAGCAAGCTGTGGAGCCCCCGGAAGGGGCAGCAAGGGCACGGACCCGGGGTTCCCGCGATCCAGAGGCGGGTGGCCCTGTCCTGATGGACTGCACAGGCTGAGGGCAGCCCAGGGCCTCTCTGACCAGCCCCTCCCTGTGAACTCAACAGCCTGATCAGGAGACTGCAGGGCCCGTGTCCAATCCCCCGTGTCTCGGCGCAGCCAGCCATTCCCACCACTTGTTACTGGTGCCTCCTGTGCTCCAGGTCCTGTCTAGGTGCCGAGAATCCAGCAGAGAACAAAACAGGCTCCTGTCCTCGCGAAGCTTCCACGCAGGCAGAGGTTGAGAAGACAACACAAAGCAGACAGGTGGGAAGTGCTGTGGAGGAGAGCAGCCCAGGGCAGAGGGGCCCTGAGTGTGGAGGCTCCACGCCTCCCTGACAGGGTGGGCTGAGAAGGGCTCGCTCAGAGGGTGACATCTGAGCAAGACTCTAAGGGCATGAGGGCATGTGGCATCAGGTCCCCTGTGGGGGGCGCCTCTCAGGTACAGGGCACAGCCTGTGCAAAGGCCCTGCACGGGGACCAGGCTTGGTCTTCTGAGGAGCAGCAGGGAGGTGGTGTGGCTATGAGAGTGAGGAGGGCAGAGTGGCAGGAAGGACTTCGGATTCTGCAGGAAGACGGCAGAGGGTGTCCAGAAACGGACCATGGATGTCTCCCCGCAGCTGGCACAAAGGGCCACGGGAACAGCCACGAGGAAAGCCCCAGCTTCCCAGAGTGGTGGAGAGGGCAGCCCCACATGCCAGGCTCTGGCAAAACTTGTTTTCACTGAGGCGCCTTTGTCTGGCAAGCACTTGGTTTCTCTGCTGTGAGAGTGTCCCAGGCCCCTGGGTGCCCCTCTCCACCTGTCTGCCCTCTCTCACTGTCCCTCTGGGTAGGGAGCCTGGGGCAGCAGGTGACACACCAGATTGCAGCCCAACATTCTTCTGATGAGCCATGGGAGGCACACGAGCCAACCCCCCGAGCTTCAGTCTCCCACATCCAGAGAGGAACAAGCGATGACCGCAGGAGCTGGTGCAGGGCAGGGTCCCACAAGGTAGGAGCGGTCACAGTGCACACGCTCCTTGCACGAAGGCTCGAGAAAGGCCAAGGATGTTGCCATCAGCCTTCTGACTCACTGATAAGAACAGGCTTGGTGGTTTACCAGTTCCCACCTGCCCATCTCTGAGGTGATGAGTGGCTTATTTGCCACCAGTCTTTACTCCAGATTATGCTACTGAATTCTCTCTAAGAATCTGAATGAGGCTGGTGACACTCAGAATCCCGTGTGCTTTGGGACTCATTAGTTTTCCTGTCATTTATATGTAAATAAGATTCTGTCCTTCTGAAATAACAACGATAAACACTCAGTGGACAGCAGGCCAGGGGCTGCAGTTTGCCAGCCGTTGGCTTAGACGAAAACCGGGGTACACACTCTTTCACACGGAGGAAAACTTGTCCCAACCAGCCACATGCCCCCTTGGTCTCTGGAGCCATCTGAGCAGAGCACAGACAGCACCCACATGCCCATTTCCCCTGGGTTTGCACACGCTTGCGAGCTGCTCATATTTTAAGAAGGCCAGTTGATCCTCGCAGTACCAAAGCAGTTGGAATCCTTGGCATCTGTGAATTAGGATGTGCCAATGTGGTTTCCCTATGACCACGATTAACCTCTTAGAGCTAAAAACATCCACGTACCCACAGAGCCGGTACCGTCGATGATGGCAGTCACGGTGGCGAGGGCGTGGGAGTTTCCTTTCAAGCTTTTGTGAGTCCCCTGGAAGAGAGGGAGAAACAAATGTGAAACACGTCCCAGCAGCATGACAGTGAGAAGTAAATCTACGCCTTCCACACAACAATTTACTCAAGTGACTTTGCAGAGCAATTCAAAACGTAGGGTATTTTCCATTAGAAAATGTAAACTCTACTCCATTCCAAACTTACCATGGAAAGGTATGCAAAGTTTCAAGGGTTTTTAATAGTCAAAAATCATCATAAATACTTGTCCAAGCATATTTTAGTTTAAAGAACTATTATAATTCTCTTCAAATAAATAAATATTTATTCGGCATGATCATCCTCTTCACTCAGGCACCACATAAGCCAACAGGGAAGATAAGAAGATGAATGACACTTGCCCCGGCCCTCAGCCGTGCCAGCATTAACGCCCACATTTCTGCGAGGGGCTCTCTGTGACACGTCAGACAGCTCTGCAGCATCTAAAAATCCATGTGATTAATGGAAAATGCCAGGGAGGATGGGGAGGAGGGCAGGACCCAAGAAACCAACGTAGGAGGTGCAAGTCCTAAATGACAAACCAACAGGAGCTCTGGTTTTCAAAAAGCCAGATGTGAGGTTGGGGAAAAAAATGCAAACTAAGCACGATAAAAAGAAAAAACAAATCAGGAAAAAGAGTGCCTGGAAACCTAAAACCATAAAAATAAACTAAAGCTTGTAAAAATAAACGCGTACGTACACAGGTATACAATATAAAATTAAGCATACACACAAAATCATAATCACCCCTAATCCACGTTTTCTGGGGTCTGAAAAAGAAGTGCAAGTCCCTCCTCTGCCCTCTAATCCTATGGAGGCAGACCGCTGTTACTGATCTAGTGTGGGCCTTTCCAGAATTTTCTCTGCCCCAACAGGAGGATGGACACGCTTCATAAATGCAGTCTGAGCACTCTCTCGACACAAAGGTGGGCTGTGCTGTAGGTCGGCAACCTGGCAGAGACAAGACGAGAACAGCCCACCTCGCCAGCCTCTCTACTCCGCTGCTCTCTGCCGACCGGCCTGTGGGGACAGGGCCCCTGGTTCTCTTGGGAGGGAAAAGAGCAGAGATGCTGAGGACAGTGCACGAGAGGGCCGCTGGCTGTGCTAACGGGGCTGAGTGTCGGGCAACGCGCCGTCCCCAGCCCTAAGCGAAGGGGGCGAAGGGGGCAGAGGGGCAGGGGCAGGGGCAGGGACTGCGGGCGGGCTTGCTGTGGTTTCTAAACAGGAGAATGAGCTGGGGGCTGGTGAGTGTGATTCTGGAAGAACTTCAGAGAGATCAGAAGAGAGGAGGAGACCACTGGAGCCAAAGGAAAGTTCCGGGGACTCAGGAGTCGGGGAAGTGCTGGCCGAGAAGCCCTGCTATCCTGCCCACCAGTCTATAAACCACTTTTGGGGAACTGCTTTGGCTTCAGATAGGCTTTTAATGTTAGACTAGTCTTAGAGTCACAGAAAATTTGCAAAGATAGTATACGGAGTTGCTGTAGGCCCCGCATCCACTTTCCCCTGTGTTAACATCTTACACTGTTATGCTTTTTTGTCATAATTAATGACCCACATTGATGCATTACTATTAACTAAAGTCTATACTGTATTCAGATTTCCTTGGCTTTTATCTAATGTCTAATTTAATCTTTCTGCTCCAGGATCCCATCCAGAAAGCCACATGACAGTTAGTCGTTGTGTCTCCTTAGGCTCCTCCTGGCTGTGACAGTTCCTCAGACTTCCTGGTTTCTGGTGATCTTGACAGTTTTGAGGAGTCAAATGTCCTTCAACTGGGAACTGTCTGATGTTTTTCTCATGACTAGATAGGGTGTGGACCACATCACACCCAGGGTGCGTGCTGTCCACGTGACCCGTCACTGTGGGTGTGGACGCGACCCCGGTCTCTCCACTCGGCATCACTCTGTCCCTCCCCACACTGTCCTCTGTGGGAGGAGGACGCTGTGCACAGCCCACACCCAAGGAGAGGGGAGTTGTGCTCCCTCCCTGAGGATGGAGTATCTATATAGATTCTTCTATCTGGGAGATCTCTCTTCTCTCCCATTTAATTACGGAAACTACTTTTCAAAGGGCATTTCGTATTTTAGTGCAGTGCTTCCTTCAGATGTCCGCCTGTGACCTCCGTGTGAAATGTCCATCTTTCACGTCAGGTAGAGGAGACGGCCCTGCCTCCTCTGGGTCTCTGTGGTCAGGAGTCGAATGTCACCTTGTCAGAAGCTCCTCCTCCAGGAAGGATTTGGGGGCCCAAGGCCCTGGGTGGTTCCTGCCACGTGGCACTGGCATTTACCATCCTGTGCACTATTTCTTTACCATGCCAGCTGCCTCTGAGGAAAATGTCCTCCCAGGGCCAGGACCCCATCTGGCTTGTCTCTGCAGTCCCCAAGACCAGCAGAGGGCCGGGCACAGAGCGGCACCCAGAGTGGGCCGGACGAAGGGGAGGAGCTGACCTCACCCTGCTGAGGCACCGAGGGCAGGCTCTGGGGTGCACGGCCACCAGCCCCAGGGCCTGAGCAAGGGCAGCTCAGAGGAGCGAGCCAGACTGCTGGCTTCAGACCTGGGCCTCAGATGAGTCCCTTCGTCTCCTCTCAGCCCCCTCGTTTATAGAACAGGGGCTGCCATCTCCCTTTATTTGCTTCAGAAGACTCTTACCGTAGACACTGGTCATCCACAGAAAAGGTGCTTATGTAAACACTCGATTTTACTAATAGAGACCATTGTTGTTGTGAATGGAGGACGTGACCACCAAGGCCAGCATTCGGCCCCCACCCACGGCTCTGCGCTGAGATGTGCGGCCACTCACCAGGTCGGCAGAGACGGCGGTCGTGATCAGCGCGTATGGCCCGCTGACCAGGGCCCCGCTGAGGAGCAGCATGGCTGTGGAAACAGAAACCAGAAGAGGGTTTAGTGAGCAGAACAGGGCCCCCAGGAGGGCTTCCACGGTCTCAGAGACCCTATAGATGGACACCTGGTGTCATGCATGGGTCCTGGCCTGAGCGGGATGCAGGTCGGTGCTGGGACGCCGTCCCCACATCCTGGGGGTGGTAACTGCCAGGGTAAATGTCATAAACGTCTTCTTTTAAACTCGCCCCAGGATGTATCTTCTAAGTTCACTCACACTTTCCCAGAGTCAGGCTGTGTTCAGAGGACCTGCTACTCTGTTTCCTCAACCCTCAATGGGCAGCAGCGACACAGCGAGAGGGAGCAAGAACCCTGAGGCACCAAGTACGCACGTGACCCGGGTGAGCGAGTGCTTCCTGTTGTGGTGTCAACTGGATGCTAACACCAGCCACAGTCTTCTCTGCAGTCGAGAGGACTTGCTCTCTGAGCCCACAGCTGCTGACGGCAGCCCTCGAGGGAAACCCGGAGACCCAGTGCAGGCGAGCTTCCCGCAGGCAGGACCACTGTGCCTACTTTGGAAACGCACAGGCACTTTCCTACACCATCCTCTAGGCTCACTTTCCCAAACCATCCTCGGGTTCACACTCCTCTGTGCAGAAGCATCTGGACTGAGGGTCACAGGAAACGCCATGATCCTCTCATATCAGCACCCTGCCTTCTGGATAACTTTTAATGGGATCACACCAACCTACATCCCTTCCAATCCCCACTGCTGGCTTGTTAGGTCAGAAAAAATATTTATGAAGTGTCAGAGCCATAATTTGATAGCGCTGCTTGCAGGAAGTTAAAAATAGTCCCCCAATGTTATGCAACTGCTCCCAGAATGGAGGCTGACAGAAGCCAACTGGGAGGAGACGAGCTGGGAGCTGGACCGACCTTGCCCCAGCTCTGGCCTGCTCTCGCCTGCCAGGGGTACAGGTCTCGGGCTGCTGCGGCCCCTCCTGCTGCCACCAGGTGACATCTGGCTTCTGTGAGTGGCTCCTTGCTTATCACCGTCCCAGACGATGTGGCCTGCATGCTCCCATGCTCACTCTCAAATCTGTAGATGGTCAGGCCTTACATCCAGGAGCAAGCGTCCCCATGGGCCTCCCAACTGCCCCACCCAGGGAGGGACATGGGGATTATTTTAGCCACATTATACGCTCAGTTATACCAGCTGAATGCTTGTTAATTTTTTATTTCATTTCCCCAAACTGTGCAAACAAAAAACATGTGTGAATGAAAAGAAGAAAGGCCCATGGACTCACCTATGGTGGCTTCTAGACCCATTTTGCTGATGGTGGAGAATATATAGAGCTGTGAACAGGGTAAAAACAACGCTTTACTACAAGTAGCCAAAAGATCTCCCAGGAATCTGTATTTCTGAAAAGCCAGGCAGGCAATTCTCAGGCAGCCCACCAGAGAGTGGAAACCCCTGAAAAGGAAGGTAGGCCATGCTGCCCGAGCCAGGCTGTCTGAGGACAGGCATCCGTGCAGTGCTTGGCAAATCAGTCCCCAGCCTTGTTCTGGATGCACGGGTTCTAATCTAGCGCGCGGTGGGCTGGGGACCCTGGGGGGGCGCCTCCCACTCAGGCAGCCCTCCCTGAGCTCCATATCTGGTCTAACCGTTTCCTCCTCAGGCTGCCTGCCCCGAACAGCTGCGGCCAATGAACCGGGAGTCCTCGCAGCAAAGGGCCACCTGCAGCCATCTCTCTAGTAAGGGTTCTTTGAGCATCTGTGTTGGGCAGCGTCCAAGGCCCCAAGATGACTGAAAACTAGGCCTTGTTCTGGGGACAGTCACAGCCCAGTGGAGTGGCAGACGGGCAGATAGTCACAACGCAAGCTGAGGAGTGATAATAGTCCTATAACATAATTGCTGTAAGAACAGAAATGCTATAACATAATTGCTGTAAGAACAGAAATGCTATGATGCTGTTCCGTTTCATCCTCGCCCTCCCACTGTGCTGCAGTGCTGCTGTCATTCTCCTTTTTCAGACGAGGAAGCTGAGGCACGGAGGGAGGCCACCTGCCCACGGCCAGGCGCTCCCAAACGCCTACCAAGCAGCATGACCCTGGCTACGCTGGGCAGGGTCGATGTGCCTGCAGAGGTAGGGAAGGCACTGGGGATCCTAGAGGATGAGCAGGAGCCTGGGGGTGGGAGAGGGAGGGTGTCTCAAGGGGAGCAGTGGCACATGAACGCCAAGCATGAACGAGGCGCAGCACTGTGCGCAGAGGGCGGCTTAGCAGCGTGCAGTGTGGCGGGGAAGCTGAGCGGAGGCGGGCCCGGGGCAGCTGGGGCCCTGCAGGCCCATGGGGCCCACTGAATGGGGTTCTGAGGCGATGGCCAGCACCCAGAAACCATGAGCCACGAACTGAGCTGAGCCTGGCCTGACGGGTGAGTGTCTGCTGGTGCGGAGGACACAGTGTGGCTACTTCCAGAGGCGTCGGGGCCCAGACAAGGCAGGGGAGTGCAGGCTCACCGTCGGGGCTGCGAGCAGCAGCATCAGGCCGCAGGTCGAGGCCCTTTTCCCCAGTCGGTCTGAGATCACACCTGCCAGGATCCCACCTATAATGCAGAGGGGCGGGTTCGGAAGGGGCTCGGGTCCCCAGGGCAAGATGCCAAGGAGAGGAAGCAGGACATAGGCTACAGCAGCAAGAAGAGCGCCCCCCTCCACCTCACCATCAGTAGGAAGCCGGGCCTTTGCGGTGCCTGACCTCTGAGCGGGCCTTACGTGGTGTGGTCAGACGTGAGGGACTGGGGGGCGTCTCCCAGTGAAACTGCGGGGTAGTCTGGGGGTCTGGTTCTGGACTGGCCCCAAGGCCCCTTTTTGGTTAGGGTACTAACCGTCAGTCTGGCCTACTGTGAGGCGTGCTCCTGTTTGAGGGAGCGCTAGTTCAAGCTCAGAGTCAGGGCTCAGGACGTGGAAAGAGGACCTTCCGCAGAGTGACGGCCATGCGCCGCTCAGGTGACACGACCTGAGCGTGTTCTTGGGGAACACATTTTCCACTCAGTAATTCGTGAACTGAAGAAGATCCTGGGCCACAGGTGTGTATATATTATTGTTAAAGTTCCTGTCGAAGCAGAACAAGTGGTCAGGAACTCACCGAAGATTCCACCCACATCAAACAGGGTGGAGAGCTCCCCGGCTTTCTGGGCATCAAGGTGATCTATTAAAATGACAACAGAGCGTCACGTGGGGAAGTCACAGCAGTCTAATAGCCACACCTAACATTCTTTTGCTTCACAAGCATGATTTAAACCAAGTAGCAATTACTAGTTAACTCAGATTAAAAGAAAAAAAGCAGTCCACTACGTGGGTAGACACACAGAAAGGATGAAAACCAGACACTATTAACCGGAAAAGGAGGACCGACCTGGCTCAGTCTAATCATTATCCCACGTGTGGTTCAGTGGTTCAGTGTCCTCTCGGGATGGCTGTAAAGTTAGATGCTGCACAGAAGGACAGAGGTAGGGCCTGGGAAGAGTCCTGTGGTAAAGAGGCTCTGGCACTGTAAGAGTACCCTGTGACACAAGCCATCTGACCGCACGGTTTTCGATCTGGAAGGGACTGGAACCTTCTCATACTACAGATGACGAAACCGAGGCCGCATGACTCTGCACAAGCCCTGAGCTCTAAGGTGGATTCAAGTTGGCCAGGGCAGGAGAAACGAGACTTGGGAAGCCTCTGGGCTGTTGGTCAAGCCCAGCCTTTCCTAGTGTCCTGAACGGCACGCACAGGGAACTTTGCTTTTTTCCAACAATCCCTCAGACTGGAAATGCAGCCATTTGGGACCCGAGTCCTGAAAATGTCACCCCTTTTGCAATCACAGGGGAACAAAGGAAGAAGGTACAGCACCTGTCCATCCAGGGCCCACCTGTCTAGACTGCGTGTGGCTGCCTGCCATAACAGTGGGGGTGGCTAGACAGGGAAGGAAGCTCAGAACCCCTGGGGAGCTCCTTACTGTCTTCCACCCCCTCCCGTCCCTCCCACACCTGCTGTCCCTGATAATGTGGGACAGTCCCCTCGCTGCCTCTTCAACTTCCATCCCTGTGAAATTCAGCCCTCCTGACCTGGGTTCATGTCCATCTCTGCTTGTCCTTATGACACTGCTGGGAATACGTGCTCTGTGTTCTGTGAACACCCACATTCCACATTTCTCCTCTTTGTCACATTCACCAGAGCCTGCATCTCTCAGGGACCCTGGTTTCTCTTCTTTCTCCTTGAAATCCCTGACTCCTGGGCCCAGAGGCCTGGGGCCCTCCCTGACCATCCCCTGTCCTGACCGTCCCGTCCTCCTTCAGTTGCAGTGGCAACCCCTGCACTCAAGGATCTCTTCTCTTAAGAACTGCTGGTCCCTCCTCTCCTCCTTCCTCTTGTGCTCACACACAGTACAGGGAGCACACATTACTATTGACCTGGTACGTCCTGTCAATAATCTACAGCTTCGGCCACTGCTGGACTTCAGAAATGTAAGACAAACTGTTAGCCCTCCCTAAAATGAGAACTCATCCCCAAGAAGCAATTTCCAGGTCAGATTATTAAGCATTTAGTATCTCAGATTCCCAGGGCCTCCATGCCTGCTCACTGGCTAATATGACCCCAAGTTTGATGGAGCCTAAATTTAAATGCAGGCTGCCCCAGATAGGAAGAGCCTGACAGAACTGGTAGCCACAGCTGGGATATAACATGTCAATCCTTTAAACCCCACCAAGGTTATTATTATAGCAATAAAACTTTCATATCCAAATTCTTTTTTATCTATACATTTCTACTAATCATGTTTGATTCTAAAGCATGTCTCTCAAATCATCATGCATCATGCAGGACTTTTTGTTCCAAGCCTAGAGAAACCAGCAGAGGAAAGTGAGTTTGGATCGTAGCCACTGCATATAACTCAACATTTGCGCTTCTAGCAACAGACACTCACCTACATTTGTGATGTACAGCGGAAGCCAAAATAGGAAAGTGTAGCTGACCAACTTCGCAAAGAGCAAACACAGAGAGAACTCAATCACACCCTGAAAGAGAGAGCGAGCAGTGTGTACCCCAAATGTGTACTCAGCAGCTTTATTTAAGTATGCAACAGCATTACAAATTACCTCGTTCCCATAAAAACAGCCCACATCTCTGGTCTGATTCTAGCACCTCCAGCTGTGTGCAGGGAGAGATGATACAGTATTGCTGTATGTACTGTACAGCCCAAGGATGTGAGATCATGGGAGAACTGACCCACACAGACTCCTACAGCACACGACTGCCTTTTAAGATCGAGACCCACTGATCTGATTCTCACAGCACATGGCTCTGAAAACTCAGCTAGCACAGGAGCTCTCAAGGGGCGCGCGCCTGGAGGAGAGTCACCCCATCACTGAGTAGTCAGTGCTGATTTCTTTTTCCCTTGAAACTGAAACCACTGCAAATTATACAGCGACCCAGAAACACACAGAACAAACGACTCTGAGCACTCTGAGACACATAGACCACCGCACCCCGCAGGGACTAAACCACCAGCGGGTGCTGGGGACAACCCTGGGAAGAGAAACACAGATCTTCCCAAGGAAATCGCGGTGAGGAGTCTGATGGCTCCCGTGAGATGCTTGTTTGTGTTTTCTTTTATGTGTACTTTTAGCAAGAGGTAGCACTTGTGAGACAACAATCCCAGACATCTCTTGGGAAATCGGAGTGAGAACCGGATCCCTCCACTTCCCACACTGCATGGGCACAGGAACTCCCAGCAAAGCTAGCGAGGAACACGAGACTCAGTTCACGTGAGGGATATCAGAATTAGAGAGCTCATGTTTCCCAGTCGATACTCCAGCCTGAGGATGTGTGTGATCTACTGCCCGCCTACCCTGGGCCTGCCACTGTGCTCGGTGCTACTACTAAGGGTCTCGTGAGTCCTCAGAATGTGAAGTATTACGCCAGGCATGAGCCAGTATTACAGATGAGGAAACGGAGGCTCAGAGCAGCTGGGACACCCAGCTTGTGTGCGGCAGGGCCAGGCCAGGCCGGGCTCTAAAGCCCGCTCTCTCCACGACCCCACTTGGATTTATTTACCGGAGTGCACCCTACTTTTAGTGCAAGCATTTGAGGCAGCTCCACAAGAAGGTACAATGGAAAGATTACTAGTTGGTATTAATACAAAATTTTAAAAATAACTTTTTATTTAAAACCAGCATCTCCTACGGGCCAGCCCACAGAAATCTTTTTCAGTGACTCGGGGGGGCCAGGCCTGGGCTTCACCCTTCTCCACTGGCCGGAGACCAGCTCCGGGTTTCTCTGCAGACCTAGGGTCAGCTGGGCGCTGGTGGTACTTTGCTCTACAGTGAAAGTTCTTCTATTTCTGTGATGTTATTTTAAGGTTCTAGGTTGTACCATTTATGTTTCTAGCCCCACACTTGCTCCTCTGTCTACTGGTAGCCTAGGGCAGAAGCCCAGACGTTCCTAAGTGTGGTGCGCAGACCCGGCCATCCCAGCCCACGGGGCTGCGTTTGCTCTCTCCCCGCTGCACGTGCTCCTGCTCTTGGTCCTCTGCCTTGGTTGCCCTCCACGGCTCACCATATCGGGGGAACACAGCTTCCAAACATCCTTTTACGTAGCTCCCCAGATGCTCTGCTGAGGGAGCCCATGAATTTGATAAAAGAACATCTAAAGCTCCCCCAACCCCTGTCTGGAATAACCTGCTCCCTGAATCTCCTTCCTGCCCTGATGATATACCACTCCCTCCGACCCCAGCAGGCACTGCGCCTACCAGCCCAGAGTCAGGGGCGGCCGGCCGCCCCACCCACGCACCAGCACACCTGGTTTTTAAACAGAGAACAAGTTCAGATTCCACGGACCATCAGCCTTGCGTCCTGGAGTGGCTTGTCTTTTCTTTGATCTCTGCATACCCCCCTCCCTCCTCCTTCCCTGCTAACAAGCAGGGGTCAATGAGACCAGGTCTGTGCTCCCAAAAGTGCTTTAAAGGGTAAAGAAAACCGAGCTGGCTCCTCCAAGCCACAGAGCAGAAGGCGGTGCCTCCCAGGGGCTCCCACTCAGGGTCTCTGGGCCCGCAGGCAGGGGCGCACCGGGAGGGACGGGGCCACGGGGCTGCAGGCCCAGGGCAGCCAGATTTTCTGGTTTTTTGAGTGAAGCTGGGAAGCTCTATTTGTTTATGAAATTTCTGAATTTCTAGGAGACAACGAATTTCAAAAATTTTTAAACATAGTATGAGGCAAGCAAAACATGGCAGCTTTGTTCATTTCTGAGACTCCAGTTCGAAACGTCTATGGATTTCTAACCCAGGGATCCTAGAATTATCAACAAGCCAGTTTCTTTTCATAGTAAGCACAAACGCCCCTTTTCGAAACTCTCCCCAGGCACGTGTACTCACAGGGATTTTCAAGGCACCTGTGAAGCTGATGGCGGCCACACCGCTCCCGCCGTCGGCTGGGAGGACGACGGTGTGGTTCTGATGGACAGAATGCTTTCCATCCGACAGCAGCAAGCACTGCGTCTCTGGGTCCTGGAGATGAATCCCATTGACAAGAAAAAAGAGAAGAGAAGGTGTCACCCAGTAGTCCACTGGTTGAAGTGAGGCCGGAATTCCTAATAACTGGGCTGCTCCTCTAAAGGTCTTGGGGACGTCTGGATAACATTCTCACTGTAGTCACTGCTTTAAATCATTAGCATTCATGTGTTCTAAGGAAATACTAACTAAAAACATGCAAAATCCTTTGACCCAGCAATTGTAGGACTCTATTTGTGAAAAATAATTTGAAAAGTGAAAAAATACTTATACAATAAAATAGATGTCACATCACCACTGAGAAAAATTGGTAAGGCACATCCATACAAACGACACATCTTGCAGATGTAAAAAAAAATTGTGAGATTTTAATGACATGGGAAAATGCTATGACACATAAATAATAAAACATCATTCAAAACTGCATTTTCATTACGATCTCAAAGAATGCTTAAATATGTACCTGTATAACTAGGTAACGACAGGATCCATTTATAGAAAGAAAGAAGCTAAAGTCTAAACCAACTATGGTTATCACTGAGTGGTGGAATTACATGTAATTTTTATGAAAATGTCAATAAATTCTTTACACGATCCTGTATTTTTTAAGGAGTTCACAATGGACATACACTATCAGAAACTACAACATTATTTTCAAATTGATAAACCAATTCCAATATTTTATAAATTTCGATATTTTGGACACTCCTAAAGGACAAAGTTTGCACTCATGAAAGCCAAGAACAGTGATCCCCAACTCAGGGTGGGGCTTCAGTGAGAGCAAGGATGATCTAACGATGTTCCTCACAAATGAACTATGAAGGTCAAGGATTTAAAAAGAAATGTTTCTGTGTATTTCAGACTTTCCACAAAATCAAATGGGTTTTACTGTATTTATCTCACTACAATCTATGCAAGTTGGATTCAAAATGCAGTTAAATTAAAAAAAAAAAAAGAAAATGATAATGCACGGCCATATCCCCCTCTCAATATTTAGAATTCTCTTCTAGTGAAAAAGAGAAATTTGGACGGCTGGGTTGTAGGCTACAGCAAGTGCAGTCTGTAGGTGTTAAGCACTCCGCGCCGTGCCTGGGGCAGCAAGAGCCACAGCGCAGAGAAGCCGGCGCCCTGAGCAGAATGTGGGCCACAAGAGCTGGCCTTCGGAGGAACACATTCACATTTAAGCACACATCTGATGTTCCAGAATGAAGATGACAAACCCCCAGTGTGAAAGCACAGTGTCTTCCTAATGACAACACCATAAAGGTATATGAAAACAAAGAACTACGATTTGAGTTTGAAAATGAACCTTTCTCTTGTGAATTATGCTAGCTGTCCAACAGTTCTCAACCCTGGCTAAACTCCGGAATCTCCCGGGAGCTCTGAGAAATCCCGATGCCCAGGCTGCACCCCGGACCAAGTACAGCAGTCTCTGGGGGCAGGCCTCAGATGAGTCCAACGTGTAGTCAAGGCTAAGAACTGCAGGAGAGAGGTTTTTAAGCACTGCACAGGTTGACCGGTGGATGAAATGCAGCCAAAGAGAAGAAATAAAGTGCAAAGGCCCTGCTTAGCCAGGAGAAGAGTGCTCTGACTTAGAGAGCGGTGATCGCAGTTCCAGCACGGAAACCCACCTCCTCACACCCTGGGTCACCTCCGCGGCCCTTCCTTGCTCTGTAAAGCGCTCCAAGGACCTGCCCTGGGCTGGTTTAAAGCTGCAGACCCAGCCCTCAGCTCTTTATCTAAGCCTGAGGAGCTGCTCAGACAGACAGTCAGAGGGAAGGCCCTGTCTCTGCTGGGACTGGGCCTCCTGCCCACACCTACTCACCTTTTACGTAGTCTCGGGGGCTCCCAGCCACTAAATTCTAGTCCTTTGCAGCGTATGGAGACGGGGAAAGTGTGAAGTCATGGTGGGTTTTCCAGAACAAACCAGGGGAGGATGATGCCTCCTCATTACAGAGGCAACAGAGCCACCAAGTGGGCCAGGACACGAGAAGCTATGTGCTAAGAGCCCCAGGGGGTCTGACAGGACCTGTGAGGGCCTCAGCTGGGCAGGTTTGTTCAGCAGGGCACCCCACTCTTAGGTTTACACTTTCAAAAAGCAAAAGGGCTCCATGCTATTTAAAAGAACACATGGGGGGAGTATGCAATAGTGACTGCTCAAAACTAAAAATGATAAGCCCACACCTCACCCTGATGTGTCTGCGGCGACACTGTGAGAAGGGCTGTCGCAGAGGAGATTTGTGGATTCCCACTTGTATGCAAAGTGGAATAAGCTTTAGCATTAAAACACCCACTCAGCTGATGAAGTGTTTGTTGAGCCACAGCCAATCAGAAAAACCCTCAGAGAAGCCAAGGATGACAAGAAGGACATGTGACTACAAGGGTGACAAATTTCGACCAACCCTAAAAATCATCAAAAAATCCCATGAGGACTAGGAGAGGGTCTACCACATGGCCAAGTGATACCAGAGCCTCCTCTTCATTCGTATTTCTTCCTCACCCACTTCTTTTCTTTATGTATTTTCTTATTACGTCACTAAGAATCATGGCTGGCATACAAGAGAATTAAGCAGTACTGTCTGAAAATGGTAGTGACCAGGGGACTGGGTACTGCTCAACTCCGAGCCCAGTGGATCTGAGCTGGGTCAGTCTGGGAAAGGGGCCACCAGGGTGTCCTGCTGAACTTGTGGGACATCCTGCCTGCTGACCCAAGAGGCACCGCCAGTGCGCGAGTGCTTCCTACTATGTAAGGGCTGGGACCAAAGCCTGGTTAGTGCTCAGAGGCCCTTGCAGGGGCCGGCTGAAAGGCGACACCAATTGACAGGGGCCAACACCTGCCTGGTCACGTCCACATCAAGGTCAGCCTGTGGTGTGGCCGGGCCTGAAACAAGACCTGCCAGGACATGCTGGTAAATAGACTTTCAAAGAAGGAATAGAAAAGGAAAGAGGGAAGTTATACTCGGAAGACAGGGCTAGCTTCACTGGTCAGTAACTGCACCAGGACACAGGGCCTGGGGTCTTGCCTCGAAGGAAAAGCTGTCTTCAATAACAACCAGACAAGAATTATAGCCATTCGGACGTTGATTAAGACCTGATGCTATGGACTGAATATTTGTGTCCCTCCAAAATTTATATGCTGAGCCCCAATCTCTAATGTGATGGTATCTGGAGGGGGGGCCTCTGGTCATGAGGGTGGAGGCCTCATGATGGGATTAGTGAGTGCCCATATAAGAAGAGACCCCAGAGAGCTTGCTTTTCTCCCTGCTCTCCATGTGTGAGGATCCAATTTTAAAGCATTTCAGTTGAATTTCCCTAAAACCCAAGGACCAAGATGTATATCATTTTTCCCTCTTCCATTATTTCAATCACCACAAATAAATTTCCTTAGGCAATAAAGAAAAAAGTAGGAAGCCTGTTTAGTACATTTATCCTTTAAGCTATTTGATTTAAAAAGAAAATAGCTTATAATTTCAATGATTAAAACCAAATCTGAAACGCCCCTGCGGGTCGGTGTGGTCACCTAAGCAGAAGCCACGTGAGGAACTTCTTGGAAGTATCCGGAAAGGGAAGGGGCTGGTGAAGGCCTGGGTGCTGGTGCAAGACTGCTGGGCTGCAGTGCGGCCTCCCCACTTCCAAGGAGGACCAGGCGGGTAACTGAGCACCTCCGTGCCTCCATGTGCTCTTCTATAAACTGTGGAGTGCAAGGGCAGAGGGCTGGAAGACAACTTTTTATGTTACCTTTTGGTCCCATCTCATATTCCCAGCCCACCGGGCGCTCCCTGCACCCGAAAGCCCCTTGGCCCAGGTACGTGCAGACCGGTCCCTCTCCTCTGTCATAGCTCTAGCCAATGCCGCCTGCCTAGGGAAGCTCCCAAGACCAGGCCTCAACTAGTGCCTGCTCACCCCTCTCTTGGCGGGCTCTGTCTTCCTGGCATTTACCTGCTGGAGAAACTGCTGGTTTTCTGTCTGTACCCTGACCCCGTCCCTCGGAGTGTGAGTTCTGCAGGAGCAGGGGGGACACTGTGAATGATGTGCATGGCGTGGCCTCATCTGGGGCCAGTGCCTGTGACACTAAAATGCTGGCAAACATTTGTTGAATGAGTCCCTTTCAAATTTGATTTAAAAACTTAAAATAAGCTTAGCTTGCTATCTAAAGAAATCTAACAAGGGCAAACTCAAATTTTACTGCAGAAATATGAGACCCAATTTTGTTGAGACCCTGGCTGTCACTGAGGCAGCGGCTCTGACTCCCAAATATGTGGCATTCATGCCTGACTCACCAGAGGCTTGCTCTTCTCGTCCGTTACCATGTGCTTCTGCAGCCTCAGTCTGTGCGTGCCGTTCTCGTAGCCCTTCGAGTGCTGGGGGGAAATGATTTAATTAGAGCAATTACTCAGTCAACAGCCAGAAATTACACCTAACTGCACTGTAGCAAGGATACTGACTATCTTCACCAGGGGAAATAAAACAATTGATGACAATAAAACAAAGCGCTAATCAGTTTAATATTAAGGCTCCAGACCCTCAGATAACAGAAGGTGAAAATACAATCTTTCTGGAATAATCCAAGACTGAGGTACAAAGAAACATAAAAATGCCAATTAAGGCAACTTAACTTTCTTTAATGGCTTTGACATTTTGAAATGACTTTGAAAGAAAAAAGCCTCCAGAAATAATACAGGCCAATGTTTTTCTCTAACAAGCGAGGAACAGAGGCCCTTCCTACATCAGCAGATTAATTTAGAAGGAAGAAAACATCCTCCATTGAGGAGAGCGTGGCCTGTTTGACAACACACAGCTCGAGCACAGGGGCTGTGGTGTAATGATGACCCCAATTGTGTGTGTGTAACGGACATGTTTTCATTTCTCTTGGATGTATACCCAGGAGTGGAATTGCTGGGTCATAGGCTAACTCTATGCTTTTGAGGAACCGCCAGACTGTTTTCCAAAGTGGCTGCACCATTTTTACTTCCTCACCAGTGGTGTACGAGTGTTCCAATGTGTTATTATCTGTCTTTTTGATTACAGTCATCCTAGTGGGTATGAAGTGGTACCCCATTGTGGTTTTGATTACATTTCCCTGATGGTTAATGATATTGAACGGCTCTTCATGCGCTTATTGGCCATTTGTATATCTTCTTTGGAGAAATGTCTCTTCAGAACTTTTGTCCATTTTAAAATTGGGTTGTGCTTTTATTACTGAGTTGTAAGTGTTCTTTACACAGTTGTCCCTCGGCATCTGCAGGAGACTGGTTCCAGGACTCCCATGGATACCAAAATCCATGGATGCTCATGTCTCTCATATAAAATGGCATAGTATTTGCATACGTGGGGGATCAGAATTGGCCACCCCAAAATGTGTCTCTCTGGCATGAGGATTATTTTGGGCCAATGAGAATTATTACTTTTAAAAACTGCAGACATGGGAGAAGCTCTGAAAAGTAGAATTTACCCTTTGTAAGAGACATTTACATTTTAAGGGAAATCTCCATCTATATAGGTATCTCCCTCTCTGTACCAGGAAGAAAGGGGGACAACCTTATCTCTAGAAGCTCTTATCGATGCGGAAGGCAAGGACTTAAATCTGCATAACCTTACTCTTGTTTACTGTGCTTTTCTGGTAATCTCCCATAACTGACTGCCCCCACCCCCAACATCCTCTTTTGTCTTTAACTGAAGATGGATATTTAGGACGAGAGCCCCCGCCATTTTAGTGAGTTACCCAGTTTTTCCTGGGTCTCTCCCATGTATACATGTTATAAAGCTTTGTTGACTTTCTCCTGTTATTCTGTCTCATGTCAATTTAATTCGTACCCCAGCCAGAAGGATCCAGAGGGTAGAGGATTTGTGTTCCTCCCCTACACATATAACCTAGGCACATCCTCCCATATACTTTAAATCATTTCTAGATTACTTATAATACCTAATACAATGTAAATGCTATGAAAATAGTTGTTATACTGTATTCTTTAGGCAATAATGACAAGAAAAAATGTCTGTACATGTTCAGTACAGACACAACCATCATAGGCCTTTTGATCTGTGGCTGGCTGAATCCGTGGATGTGGAACATGTGAATATGGAGGGCCGACTGTATATTCTAGATACAAGTCCCTTCTCAGATGTATAATTTGCAAATATTTTCTCCCATTCTGTGGGTCATCTTTTCACTTTCTTGATGGTGTCCTTTGAAGCATAAAAGTTTTCAATTCAGATAAACTCCAATTCATCTATTTTTTCTTCCACCCCTTGTGCTTTAGGTGTCATATCTAAGAAGGCTCTGCCTAATCCACGGTCATGAAGATTTGCTCCTATGTTTTCTTCTAAGAGTTTTATAGTTTTACCTCTTACATTTAGGTCTTTGATCCACTTAAATTTTGTGTATGGTATGAGGAAGAGTTCCAAATTCATTCTTTGCATGTGGAAATCCCGTTACCCCAGCACGATGTGATGAAAAGATGATCGTTTCCCCACTGAATGGTCTTGGCACCCTTGTTGAAAATCAATTGACCATAAGTGTGAGGGTTTATTTCCGGACTCTCAGTTCTATTCCATTGATCTGTATGTCTACCTTTACTACCACAGAGTCTCAATTACTGTAGCTTTGTATTAAGTTTCGAAACTGTGAAGTGTGAGCGCTCCAACTTTGTTCTTTTTCACGACTGTTTTGGCAACTCTGGATCCCTTGAACTTCCACATTAGTTCACGGATCAGCTTGTCAATTTCTGCCAAGAAGCCAGCTGCAGTTTTGATACAGATTACACTGAATCCGTAGATAATTTTTCGGGAATATTGCTCTCTTAACAATATTAAGTCTTCCTATCAGTGGATATGGGATGTCTTTTCATTTATTTAGGTCTTTCTTAATTTCTTTCAACAATGTTTTGTAGTTGTCAATGTATAAGTCTTGCACTTCTCAGGTTAAATTTATTCTTAAGTATTTTATTATTTTGATGCTATTGTAAATGAAACTGTTTTCTTAATTTCATTTTCAGATTGTTCATTGCTAATATATAGAAAGACAACTGATTTTTGTATACTGATCTTGCATCTGCAACCTTGCTAACTTGTTAATTAGCTCTAACAGTTTTTTGGTGCATTCCTTAAGATTTTCTATATACAAGATCATGTCATCTGCAAATAGAGGTACTTTTACTTCTTCTTGTCCAGTCCGCATGCCTTCACTTCCTTTAGTTCCTTTTGTCCAGTGTGCATGTCAGAATGCTCTGGCTAGAACCTTCCATACACTGTCACATATAAACGGCAAGAGCAGGCATCCTTATCTTGTCCCTGATCTTGGGGGAAAGTATCCGGTCTCTCACCATTGAGCATGAGGTCAGCCGTGGGTGGTACAGCCGCCCTTGACCTGGTGGAGGAAGCTCCCTTCTGCTCCAGTGTGTTGAGCGTTTTATCACGAAGGGGTGCTGGGTTCTGTGAGATGCCTTTCTGCTTCTGTTGAGTTCACCACATGGCTCTAGTCCCGTATTCTATTCATATGCAGCATTAACTGATTTTCAGATGTTAAACCAACTGTATGTTCCTGGGATAATCTCATTTGATCATGGTATATGATCCTTTTGATATGTTGCTGCCTTAGGTTTACCAGTATTTTATTGAGTTTTGCATTTACATTCACAAGAGATATTGATCTATAGTTTTCTTGCCATGTCTTTGTCTTCTTTCGTTATCAGCATAACACCTCATAGAATGGGTGGGAAGTATTCTCTTACAATTCTTGGAAGCGTTCGTGAATAATTGGTATTAATTCTCCTTTAAATGTGTGGTAGAATTCACCAGTGAGGCCATCTGCTCCTGGGCTTTTCTTTGTATTAAATTTTTTAAATTAATAATTCAATTTCTTTCCTTATTAGAGGTCTATTCAGATTTTTAATCTCTTGAGTCAGTTTTGCTAGTTTATGTCTTTCTAGGAATTTTCCCCTTTATTCTAAGTTATCTGATTTGTTAGCATACAGTTGTTCATAGTAGACCTTTATAATTATTATTTCTGTGAAGTTGATAGTAGTGTCTCTTCTCTCACTTCAGATTTTGGTAATTTGAATCTTCTGTCTTTTTTCTTGGTCAGTCTAAAGGATTGTCAATTTTGTTGATCTTTTCAAAGAACCAATTTTGGTTTACTTGATTTCTCTATTGTTTTTCTATTCTTTACTGTTGTTTTTCAGGTGTCATAATGGTATTGTAGTTAAGTTTTTTTAAAATTTATTAAAAGGGTCCTCATCGTTTAGAAACATACACTGAAGTAGAGACAAAATAATATGACTGGTATTTGCTTACAAAATAAATCCTGAGGAGGAGAGGGAAGAAGTATTAGAAGTATTGCTGAAATAAGATTGGCAGAATAATGGGTACATGGGGTCCATTATACTATTCTTTTTACCTTTTTATATGTTTTCAAATTTCCATAACAAAAACTTTAAAATATTGTAAAAATAAGAACGATCCTGAAAATAACACTTTCAAATGGGAATGTCCTAGAATATGGCTCTACCCAGAACAAGTCAGCACATGTGAAAGGTCCTGCAAATGCATTCTGCTTTGCACAGAAGCTCTGTTTATGACAAGGGGAAGACAGAAAAGGCCAGCGGCAGGTGGGAAATTGGCCAAACTTGCCCTCAGCTCCCCAGGGCTCTGGGGCCCCTTGAGAAGACCCCGTGATAAGGGTTTTCCCAGCATCCTACAGAAAGTGGATAAAGTTTCTGTGGGAAAAAGAACTTTGGGGGCTGTCTGCAGAAGCTGATGACATGTCTCCAGAAATCAAGCCCATCTCTCCCACCGTGGCCAACCTCTGAGAGGAGGACAGAGGAAGAGGAGCCACCCTCCGGGTCACCTCACCCACAGCATCCGGGGGCAGCTGGGCACCTCAGGAGCTCAGTGAGCTCAGGAAGGACTTGAATGGGGGAAAATGACACAGGCTTCCGCCCCAATTCATACACACGAGTGCAGAAACACCACCTGGTGCTCAGGTACGCTCTCTCAGACCCCTCTCATGTACAAGGCTGTACATGAGGAAGATTCACTCCTCTCCTCAAAGTCCCTGCACACTCAGTGCCTACTTCCCGTCCCCAGAAGATGTTCCAGGGTGGAAGGTGAGTGTCAAAACTCCCCCCCATTTCCAGAGGTGGCTGGTGAAATCCTTGGCCAGTCCCCAGCCTCCGGTGCCCCTCTGTGGGAAAGCCCTTAATCCGACTGCATTGGGCTTCCCGTCTGAGTTTCTGTCGTGAGTGCCATTATCAGCCCTTTCCTGAAACTGCCAGCGTTTGGAGGGTGACTCATGTCACGCTTTGTTACCCACTGACACTGCACAGACAGGCCCAGGCTGGAGACAGTCATCAGATGCCTGGCAGACGGCACACCGTGCTAGAGGACAAGAAGCGGAGAGCGAGTCCTTACCGCTGTCGAGGTGGGAGAGCAGGCGATGTCCCTTGGATCTGAAACACCAAATGTGACAACATGAGCCCAGGGCTGGAGTTCCCACCAACCAACAAATTAACCCAAACAAAATGCCATCTGACACTGTTACTAAATTAGCAACAATTCAAGAAGAAAGTCAATGCCTGGGGAGCATGGGGTGGGGTGAGGGCGCAGCTCGGCCACCCCACCAAGGACCCACATGCCCCCTTCCCTCCTTGGACCCCCGTGATTGTTCATCCCTGCACCGAGGCGGGTGCAGCAGTCGCCTCCAACACATGTAATGCGAATACGAAGAGGGCAGGGCAACGTGGAAAGTACTTCACATGTGACAATAAAAATGAGCAGGGTCTATCTATACCATGGTGACAAGCCACAACAGATACATTTAGAGGATAAGTATTGAAGGAAATACAAAAGCATGAAAAGTATATTAGAGTAGTGGGGTCACGAATAACACTTGGGATGAGTTATATAATGTTATGGAATTGATTAGAAATAAAAATTAGTGGGGACAAAACATCTATCTTGATATAGAGCAAAACGCCTTTTATCTAAACGCAAGGAAGGAAGGACACGTGAAAAGCAACAAAACCAGGAGCTGGGCTTTTTTCATTTTCTTAATTGAAAATTAGGCCAGTGGCCTGTGACTGGGTGATGTGGGAACCAAGAGCCAGACTCACAGCCGCGAGGAGCTGGGGGAGCAGACTCTACTTCCTCAGACGCCAGAGAGCCACCTTCTAAACAGCTTTGTTCCTCTGTACCCCCCACCCGGAATCCTGGTCTTTCTCTAACTTTTGGTGAAACAGTTTAACTGCCTGGAAACAAACTGAGCTATAGGGCTTTAAACTTCCCACAGCCGAGTTCCCTCCCTGGTGACACCTGCGGGGTGGCCATGCCAAGCTGAGCACACTTCCTGCTGGACTGGAGGCTCCTCTTTGCCTGCCCTGTGCGGTGGGTGGGCATGGAGAGCACCGGTGGTCTGGATGGCCCACCTGAGATGTGTGGTCACCACTTCAAGTGCCGTCAGTGGCTCACCCATGTGGTTTTCTCCAGCCACACTGGGACACCCTCAAGGGTCAGTCAGGAGCCTCCACTTCTCCCGAGACTTGGCCAGCCCTCATGATATGGCTTTTCCTGGGCTTTCATCTTGCAGGACATTAGCACACGGCACCGTGATGGTGACACGCCCGAGAGTGGCTTCACTGGCGGACCCGGAGAGGCCCACAAGCCGGGTGTCCTGGCCTTTGGGCCTAGCCCTAGGCAGAAAGGAGGAGCAGGAGAGAGCTTGGCCCTCATTATTGGTCATGAGAAGGGCAGACCTGAAGCCTTCACTGCCCACCCCCATGGTCAGTGACTAGGGACGAGGAGGGAGCAGAACTAAACCACCGAGATGCATGTGGAACTTGTCTTTTCTATCTGCAGAGTGTTCTGCTCTCGGGCACAGCATTTGCTTGTCATTACCTACAGCTGGTTTCATCATTCATACACATCACTGCCCCATCACAAGGGGCAAAAATATGTCATCGATTCTCTCGGCAGAAAGGGTATGACAGTCTTATATTTGTTCTAAGGAGGACAGCGAGCAGCCCCCTTTGGATCGACGTGCTTTGTGTCTAGAGTGGACTCGGGCTGACAGATGACCTCTGGACCAGGGAGCCTGCCCCTGTCGGGTCAGAGAGGCCTCCTTTACAAGAGCCCGGGTCGGGCCTGAGCAAGGAGGAGGAAAGAGGGGCTTCAGAGCCTGCAAACCAGGTTCTCCCTCTCCACAGAGACGCTCACGGACCCCAGGCCCTGGAGCCTGAGGTCCCCCCACTGGAGGGCTATGGAAATGCCTGCTCCAACGAGGGCAGCTAGAGAAGCTGCCTCAAAAGCGACGGCTCAGGGGCACCACACACCAGCGAGTGCAAAGGAGTCCTCGTCAAAGCTGTGTGCACAGAGGAGCCCCTCCAGACCTAGGCCCCAGAGACGGGGGTGCATGGAGCTGGGCTCCCCAGACAGTGGGGCAGGTCTGAGCAGATGGGCCCGCTGGGGATCAGGGGCTGTACCGTGGTGATGGGGTCCCCTCCCAAGAGGTACGGAGCAGATATGGGAAGTCTGGCCTGCGTGCCAGATTGATGGGGGCCCCGCTGACCTTCTTTTGATTCCTTGGGCAGGGCAGGGAGCTCGGCAGGAAAGAGAAGGACTTGGAACACAGCAGGTGCATTGACCTCGTCTCCCACGGATGCTCGGACCATGCAGAGGAAGGCGGGCAGGGAGCGAATGCAAGGAGTGGTGGAGGACTTGAGTATAGGGACTGACAAAGACGTGAACGTGGGCTGTGGGTAGGGATAGAGCGCGTCCCATGAGGACTTCCTAATCATCCACTTAATCAGGAGGAAGCAGGGAGGGAAAGGCTCATAAGACAGAACGATGGTGGCTCAGAATACACAATGCATGGTATTTCTCAGATGCTCTTTAAAGAAGAGAGTTCCCATGGTCCGCAAGAATAACCTTTACCTCCCAGCGTTCCAGGGACCCAGGTCTGAGAAATACTGACTTAAGAACCGAAACTTCTGTTGTAGGAAAGTATCTTTCAAATGCATATTATCTTTGTAAGAGAAGACAACATTTATAATCGACAAAGTTTGTTTTTTTAAGATTATTATCTAAATGAAAAGAAAAACTTTAATTGAACCTACAAGAACACATCCCAAGGACCTAAAGGGTCCATGGCCAAAGTCTGAGAAAGGCTGGACGGGTGAGCCGGCACTCAGTACGACTCCAGTGCACCACTTACTGTGTGACCTTGGGCAGGTCAGTTAGTGCCCTGAGACTCAGGCCTTTTCCCTGGAAATCCAGGAAATAATATTCGTATCGAGCCTGGCCTGGTGCCTGGAACACAGGACACACTCAATATTTGGTAGCCACCCTGTGCCCCCCAATGAAACGTCCTAATTATGATATGGGAAGAAGAACCACAGAGTGTGTGCTCACTAATTGCTAGGAGAGTCTGGAAGACCAACTCCAATGCAAACACAGTCACGTGTCGCTTAACGACAGGGCTCAGTCATGAGAAAGGCACTGTGAGGTGACTGCGCTGTTGTGCGATCATCACAGAGTGTACTTGCACAAACCTGGATGGCAGAGCCCACTACACACCCAGGCTCTGTGGTCTAATCCTATGGGACCACCACAATGGTCTGTCCCTCGTTGACAGAAACGTCATCATGCGGTGCGTGACTGTAACAAAGTCAACCTCAGATTTTAATACAAGGGTCGATGTGACCTCAGAGGCAGAGCCGGCACCCAGCAGGAGAACATAGCGAAGGATGGGCTCAGAAGGAAGACATTCAGCGGAAAGGTAGAGAAATGCCAGGTCCAGAAGGTGTCCATGGGCTCTCAGCCAGGCCCTGGGGACCAGCCTGAGCAGCAGCTGGGAAAGGAGAGCGACTAGCCAGCGGGGATTGGACGAGGAAGGCCCAGCTGAGCAGTGCAGAGTGAGAGCAGGGATCAGGTGACCAGTGATAAAAACCGGGATGCCCCAGGGCTCTGGCGGGAGACCAGAGTGCACTGAGGATCCTGCCCCAAAACCCATGACAAATGCAGGAGGAGGAGGTCAGGTGTGGGGTGGGTAGGGAAGGAGGGGCAGTGAGAAGAAATTTTTGATGGTCCCAGGAAGAGGAATAGGGAGCTAAACTGAGGATCTTGTATGACCTTGAATATACTTACCAGTAACGGCAAAAGGCTAAGACCGTAGGTAAGAAACCCCCCACTGACCAGAGGAACGTGACGAGTAGAGAGCACGGACCACCTCTGTGGCTGGGCCGACGGTTCTACAGCACCCTCTCCCCGCCTGTGGTGCTTCTAGACTCCCGGTCAGTGCCAGCTTGTCACCCTTCCTTCCCAGAGCCAAGGAGCACCCAAGAGCAGGGGGCACAGCACAGGTCTGATTGCTCATCTGTCCTCCACATCAGCATCGGTAAGATCTCCTAGGAAAACCTTACAGGCAGGGTCTCCCGGCTTCAAAGCCTGGTGGGCCTGGGGGAAGCTGCAGTTCTGTCCCAGAGTGGACCAGGGAGGAGAGCGACAGTGCTCCAAGATCACCCCAGCCTCGGGAGAGGGTGGCCAGCAGGTGGACTCTGGAATAGGAGGGAGGCAGTGACAAGAGGCGATGGGCAGTGATGGGAAGGCAGCTTGGGAGAGCCCTCTGTGCAGACTCTCAGCACAGCCCCCACCCCCTCAGAAGGGAGCAGTGGCTCAGTGGGAAGGAGGCTCTCATTTTATTAGGAAAGACCAAACCACAGCTTCCTCGTTCTTAGAAATCCTGCCCTGGGGGAAACAAGGTCCTGCCCAGGATAACACTGAATGGGTATGGTGCTAGGACCCCCAGCCAGGCCAGCAAACAAGCTCCTATCTCCTGCCGCAAACTCCATTCTTCATCCCAACTCCTCCTTCCCCCACAACCAACTCTTTATGGGTTGAGGAAGAGAATAAAGGCCACCGTGGACTCGAGACCTCCCAGGGGCCCCTGCACACCAGTGAAGAGGAAGGCATTGTTCTCCAGGTGACTCACACGGAAGGAACACCTTGGAGCTCCAGGTGCTGGGGAGGCAGCCTGGAGGAAAACAGGTGACAAGAAGGACCTTTCCTGGAACTCCGGGTACACTCAGGCTACAGTTAAATGCCACAGTTTGGCAGGTTGGTAAGGGAGTCAAAATACCCCTCTCCTGCTTAACAATTCACTTATGTTGGCCATTTTGCAATGTTGCTAAAAGCTGAGACAATGGTGAAAATGTGAGGTGAGCAGCAGCCCTTGCCGCTCACCCTAGTGGGCGTGTCTGAAGTCCTGGTCTGAACGCTGACTCCCATCCTCACTGACAGACAAGGCTGGCCTGGAGCCTCGTATCTGCTCAGCCACATGGTGGTTATTTTAAAACTTAAAAGGTTACCTTCAGCAACAAGAAAAAAGAAGTGAGACACTCAACAGAACATGCCTCACCTTCTTGGACGATGAAGCTGGCAGTTCCGAATGCAAAGGCGAAGCTACAGTCAATGCCCAACACGGATGGAGTAATTTGACCCCTGAGCACCCCTACCCGGGGGTTAACAGCAGGGAGCTGTCTAGTACCACAGGATTTTATTTCGCTTTCAGCCAGATCAAAGAAGTAAATGCCAACCATAACTCACAAGAACAGCTCGTGGGATTAGAACCCCTGACACACAACAGCTAGAGCAGCACGGGCCTCTCTATCACCGGCGTAATTGTTAAGTCTTGTTCTGCTAGATCTCTATTTTAAAAATTAATTTCAAATTCAATTTAACCAAAACTTTGATATCGAGTCTGCAATGGAACAAAGGATTTGATTTTCTGGTGGAACACTTCTCTATGGTCTAAAGTCACGCTACGGTTTTATAACATTACCCAAGATATGGCTAATGAGAAAGCAAACAGGCTGGTGAGATGTATCACAGTTGTGGCAGCAGGACGGGGTGAGCCGGTGCTGCAGCCCTGGAGGGAGCAACGTGGCAGGCCTGAGGAAGCTGTGATCCCCACACGAGGAAAACCACACACACCTGATGGGAGGGGGAGGCTGCGGGGCAGGAGGACAGGGTGGAAGGCATTTCAACATCGGTTACTACAGAAATCCAGAAACAGCCGAAAACCCAGCAAGCCCAGGAGAGAAATGGCTAATTGGGGAAGTCGATACCTGAAGAAGGAAGTCCACCTGGCCAGGGGAGAGCCAGGGTAACCACATGCCTGCCCAGGACTACGCAACAGCTATTCTCTGAACATCTCTCCCCTAGAGCCCTCCTGGGGTGGGCGGTCAGCTCCAGGGCCGTGGGTACTTACGTTCGATGAGAAAGAGAAAGCACACTATCCCCATGGCCGCCACGATGGCCCCAGGCACGACGAAGGACAGGCCCCAGCACGTGGACACCCAGTAGCCGGCAATCAAGGACCCCAAAATGTTGCCCACAGAGGTGTGGGAATTCCAGACCCCCATGATCAAACCTCGCCTGCAACATGACAAAAGATAAGACAGCAAATGATGTCGAGGAGCTTAAATGGGTCAGTGGTGTAGGACACAGGGCCTGCAATGCATAAGAGCTAGTGTAGAAATAAACGGGCAACGCAGCCCTACTCCTGCAAGCGCAGGACTAGAGATGTCCACACGAGAACCATATTTTTATTTTACCTCAGGCCGTGTAATTACACATCGCTCTCAGAGCCCATTTATTCTACAATTAAAAAGAGGAAAGAGGCCTTTTCCTGAAATTCTTGGAAGGCCCCAAATTTAAATTTGTGCCTCCACAATCTCAACACAATCATTGGCTGAACTGCCCATCAATAGAAGTTCCTGCTGACGAACGCCCAGATGCATGGGGGAGGGCATCTAAATAGGGTCCCAGGCGGTAGCTTCCCCATCTTGGTTAGCATCTTCCACCACTTCTCAACCCTGGGCCTGGCCGCACTGCGTGTCACACAGACATTACAGTCAGATCACCAGAGGCTGAGGCAGCTCTGCTACTAGGCGGTGGGTGACCTGGTCAGGACTTGTCACACTTCCATGTGCCTTTGAGTCTTGTGAAAATGTGGCTTTTGCTTCAAAAGACCTGGGTGGGGCCCTGAACTATGCATTTCTCCCAGGTCCCCAGGAGGCCAGGCAACGCTGCTGCTCGGCTGTGTAGAATGACACAGCCTCGACCCGGCCTACAACAGCGAGGGCATCTCCTGGGTCACAGGCCCACCTGAACTTCAGAGCCTCAAGTCCCAGAGGTTTCACCCATCTTATTTCATAGAGTAGACTAGTTAAAGAGTTTTCTTTTTTTCTGCAATAAATCTAAAGAAAAACTAAAAATAAAGTCTGGTTTTCACCAGAATCTTTTAAAAAATAAATGCTGCTGGAAACAGCCACCTTTGCTCACCTTCCTTTTCCAAACCAGTTGCTAAGGCAAGTAACGACGCTGGGCCAGCCAGTGGTCTGCACCAGTCCATTGATGATCTAAGACAGAAGGCACAAGAGAAGACTCACTGTGAGCGGAAAACATGCACGCCAGAGCCTGTCTGAAGGCCAGGCTCACAAGAGCGCCCTCTTCTCTGTTCTTCGGAAGTTCGGGAGCACAGCTGGGACTCTCACAGAGAGAAGAGGGTAAAACCCTACTTGATGTGAGCCTCAACAACCAAAGATGTATTTTAAACAATTTATATATATATATTTATCACAAAAGTAATACAGCCTATTGTGAAAATTTTAGAATAAGTAGAGGAAAGAAAGAAAAGAAAATCTCTTGCTAGGAGATTAACTACTGTTAACAGCTTGGGGCCAAGCTTTCCAGTCTCTTTCTAATTCTAAAACTTTTTATGGAAAAATTTTCTTCTTTTTATGGAACAGTGATTGTACCGTAAATATAGCTTGTAAGTTGCCTGTTTTTACTTCTTATATCATGGAGATATAAGATTTGTTGTTAAGGATCCTCTGCAATGAGCATAACCTTGGTCTAGCACCTGGAAAAAGTATTTCTCCACTTTTCAAGAGCACCCTGAGCTTCCACTGTAAGAGGGGGTTTAGGAAGTCTATTGGCTACTGGGTTTGCTTTAGCGTGGGGAGCATCAGGGGCAACTTTATGAGACGACGTGAAACAAGATCCGCCTCCTACAATGGCCACCGGGACTGACCAGCTCTCAAGGAGTGTCTGGGAGCTGCTGGTCCAGCCCAGGGTCAGCCAGCTTGGCCTTCCCTTCAGGAACAGGCAGGGACTCCGGGAAATTGTTTTTCCCTTCCTTCTAATATTCTATATTACTATAAAGTGTGAATCACTTTTGTAATTAAAACAGCCAAAATTTTTCAAGTCCTATGGCAAAATTTTTAAAAGCAAATTACACGCAATTTGCTTTGATGATTTTATAACACCCCCCCAGGCTATTTGGAGAGCCTCAGAAGCTGAGCACCATTATCTTAGGTCATTTTCCATTTCTAGTCAATATTTATCCACAAGGCTGTTGGGAGGGGCAGAGCCAAGAGTCTTAGGAAGGACTGGACCAGCTGGAAAGGCAAAGATGCACAGCCCGTCTCGGGCTTCACTCCTCTTAGAGCACCATTGGGCTCTCTCCTCTCCTCCCCACTGACTGCCCCCAACCCCATCCTACTGCCAGTGACCTCAAAGTCCTCCCTTCCTCCTGCCCTTGCCACACCCCCAACCCCCCCTCTCCTGAGTGGTGAAATCTGTCACAAGCCAGAACATCTCAAGCTCATGGAAATGTAGGCAGAAGGACTCTTAGAGGCTTCATGCTTTAACCTCCTGCTGGGGCACTGAGAGGACTCTTTAAGAGGCAGCTCCAGAAACTAAGGAAAACTTCACGGCTGCTGGAATTTCAGAGCCAAACAGAGAAGAGGGACTTCACAAGCCAGGGCCGACCCGGACGTCAGACAGGACACAGTTCTGCCCTGCTCCCATCATCTGCCATCTTCTCTCTTGGCAGAGGTAGGGACCTGTCACAAACACCCTGTCCAACTCATCATCGACACCCCGTATGTGGTGAGTAAGGACTCAGACCTTACCTGAGTTACCACGTAGAATCCAAAGCTGTGGATGTTGTAGAAATACCCCAGCCCAAACAGGGCAGTAAAGGCGCCACTGGCCAGCATCCCGAAGGTGAGGTAATACCTAATAGGCAGGCGCTCCCCTATTATGCCACTGGGGATGGAGACAAGAAAGACAAATATGAGAAAACAAACACACCCACAATGTAAATGACCCAGCGATTTCTTTCCAGATGTTTCCATGCTGTTCTCTGAGCTGTTAGAACTTTAAAGCACTACAATTTCCAGGAAGATTTTATCACAACTATTTCCCAATGGAGCATTTATTAACCAGAAATTGGCAACTGACAACAGCTTTTAAGACTTTTTATTTCTAGTAAAAGTACTAACTGTCAAATAATAAATCTCAAACTACGACTTACATATCATGGCTGCCCATTAAAAAAACCAAAAACTTGTCCTGCTAGTTAATCTTGCTTTTATATAAACAATATCCAGTAAATGTATACAGCATTTTAAAATTTCAACAAACTGTAGACGAATGTCAAGAAAAGGGATCACTTGTGACCTTGAATAAGTCTCTCAGCCCTCGAGCTCCTAAGTCACCTGCATTAATGCTCTGGGCTGGATGGGCTCTGCCAACCACCCCTTCCTGCCACAACCACTGTGATCTGCTTTAAAGACAGATTTTCTTTAAGGTAAGGTCTGAAACCCAGAGGCAGAGCCTCCGTGCTCTGTCTGAACAGCAAAGTGACTCCATAGAGAGCCGACCTCTTTGGAGAACTACCTCCCAGAGTTGTCTGGAGCTCAATGTGATAAACTCGGGTTCGTGCCCAGTAGCTGGTGGGTACTCAATGAAATAGCTCCAGGAGTGCTGGTGAGGATGAAAAGGCTCCAGTTTCAAACTAGGGCATGTATTTAACAGGCTTTTACCACCATCAAACCATAGTACCTAATGCCACATGGAATATATTCTTCACTGCCTTACAGGAAATGTCACTATGGAGCAAGATGACATTGTGACTTATTAGGTGAATTAAAAAACTGTAGAATAATCACAAATGATTATAAGACTTGTGTGACCATTACAAACTCTACGGGTCTCATTTTCTCCCACATAATCATTGCAGGAGTCAGAAAAATATGAAGTGTCCCCTGAGAACCATCTCCAAAATTCTGGGCTTTCATCTCAAGAACCAATACACCAGAGAGCTCTTCCTTCTGAATTTACCAAATAAAAAAGATCTGTCTACTATCATGCAAATGACCTTTTAAATAGGAAGTAACTTAAAATTATAAACAACATTCAGGTCAAGTTTTAAGCTGAGTAGAAACTGATTACACACAAATTCAAGAGCATTCTAGAGCAAATCAAGTTATCCACTTCAACTTGCTGACTTCAAAGAAGAGGAAACATGTCCCAGAGGGACTGGCTGGTCTGCCCAAGGTCACAGAATGAGCTGCAGAGGCAGATGGGCCTCAAGAGCTAGGGCCATCAGCTAGGGCTTAGAAAAGCTCTCTTATACATTTCTTGCTTGCTATACAATATTGGGTCCAAATTTATCTCTACTTAAAAGTTTTTAAAGAAAAAGCCTAATGGAATGGACAGCATTCCACATTATACCAGACTCGCATAGGTACCAGAGGCCATTGCACGCCTGCCTGAACCTGCCAGGAGTGACCTGGGCTGATGAAGGTGCCCGCCGGATCTGATTTATCTCACGTACTACACAATCCACTTCACCGGCCACGTGCCATGATGTCTCTAGAAGGCCCTGCAAGGAAGCAGTGTACGCCCTTGTTGTCGTCATGAGTCCACTGTGGATTTCACCTGAGACAGAATTTCGTAATAACCCTCAACGGCGAGTTACATGAAAAATTATCTTTGCCAATAAATAAGCAACAATAAACCCACTTTATTTAAACCAGGTTTCTTAGCCTCAGCAATCTTGACATCTTGAGCTGGGTAACTCTTTGTGGTGAGGGGCTGTCCCGCACGCTTAGCAGCACCCCTGGTCTCTGCCCACTAGTTGCCACTAGCACCCCCTTCTCCAACTGTGACAACCAAAAATGTCTCCAGATATTGCTAAATGTTTCCTAGGGGACAAAAATCACTCCCAGCTGAGAACCACATTTAAACACTGTTTCCTAGTAACTGAGAAAAACACAATCCAACCTTCGGGTCTCTTTATACTACAGATGATTGATGCCCAGCAAGACTGCAGTCTTTAGAATATAAACATTTGCCCTCCAGATGGAATACGGCCCGCGGCCAGGTGCACCCAGGCCCCGAGGAGCCTAAGGCTTACACCATCCTTCTCTTCAACTGGGCTCATGTTCTGCTGTGCACCACAAGCTTCAGGCTCCGTATCCGTTAGTATTCCTTCGTTCATTCTGACAAGTTCTGTAGCACTACGCAAATATGCAAACACAGTAAAGGGGGAACCGGCCACTCCATCAGCAGAAACTGCCTGACGGGGCATCAGCACCCAGCAGGCCCCTGAGCCGGGGAGAGGGCCCAGGTCCTGACGGTGCCACACTCTGCGTTGGTCTCAGGGAAGAAGCTAAACATTTTCAGGGATCCCCGAGATTCTCAAAGCTCTAGAGATCTCTGTCTCTGAACCAAAGCCTCTTGGGCTAAACGCCTTAGTCCCTATCATGCTTCCTTTAAACGTGGCTGGACTGACACGCCGTCAGTTTTTAATCAGGCAACGGCGTGTCCTGTTACACACATAACACTTACTGCCTTCCAAGCTCAGTTCAGACAGGATCACACCCACGTAGAAGAAGGCAGGGAACCTCCATGTGCCAGGCACTGTCCTGAGCCTCCTACATGTTCCCTCATTTACTCCTCACCACAACCCTATGAGGTAAGAACTATTTCCTCCATTTTGCAAAGGAGACACTGAGGACCAAAGAGGCATAGTAACTTGCTCAAAGCCACATGGGCAAGGGGTAGAGCCGGGACTCACATCCCAGCAGTGTCTCTGGAGCCCACGCCCCCAACCGCCGTGGCGCACGGCCTCCATGCACTCAGGTGAGTCACTCCATTTGGGCCGAGCTGTGGGCATCTGGGTGGGCTTGCCCAGAACATTTTGTGTAAACTGCCCTGACACTAGGGGAAATCAGTGACCCGGCACATGAATACAGATGGCGGCCCCTGAAACCAGAGGGGCGGATGCGCTCTGCTGAGCATCACAGGGAGCTGCCAGCATCCTGTTCCTAAGTGACCACATCCCAGCAGGGTCACGGTGTGTCCTAAACCCCAGGCCAGGAAAGGCGTCCACCCTGATCAGCTGAGTACCCGGGATGTCCAAGTGCGCTGCTTCCCGGCCACGCCTGGCCTGACACTGCACCGCATACACATGGGCTCTCTCTTTATCCTCGTCTCTGAGAGGAGACTGGCCGGTAAGCAACCTGTGCTGGGCGGTCTCACGCATTCATGGTACCGCAGCACAGCGGACACGCTCTGCACTGAACGGATCAGCACTGGCCAGGGTCCTGAGAACTCGCCCACCCAGACCTACCTCAGGTACATGCCGATGGCGTACGCGCACAGGAAGGAGTAATCCAGGGCCCCGAGCAGCTGCTGGTAGTTGTCCTGATCTACATGGGTTGAAAATCAACAGGAAAAGGGGAGATTGTTCAGTTTTCACTGAATATCAGTTTATGTTCTGGAACAGGCAATAAAATACAAAACATCTGCTCTCTAAGTCTGGGCGGTGGACTCAGAGGAGAAAGGGGTGGTTTTGAACACAGAAAATATGGCAGCACATCTTCTGCCTGGCTTCTTGTCAAAGAGAAATAAAGTCGCCACATTTTCAAATAATCACTAAATATTCGTTGGATTAGATAAAATGCCCACTGCTCATGGTGAGCATGTGGCTTATTCACTTTGCTTCACACACTACACTGGCTCTGCTAGGCCAGCCCCACACCACACCTCTGGGATTTCTCTCCTTTCACCCACGGTTTACGCTCTGCAAGCCCTAACTTCCCGCTTTGACGACCACAGAATGCAAATTATCCTCAGCAGATTTCCCCACTAAGAGAGCATTTCCTCAGGCGGCAACACCTCCGCACACAGGCCCTGTGGACACAGCGGCAGCTGAAGGAGGGAGAACTGTTAGATGGGGAGAGCTGTCCCCGGAGACACAGTTACATTCGAGAACATCGTCAGTGCCGCTGAAGTCGGCAAGGCTGGAAGTCAGGCCCCAGCAGCCGTGTCTCGGCCCTCGTCGTCTGCACCAGAACCCGCAGGGACGGCCCACCTCAGCAACCGGATAGCACGGTAACCGACGGAGAACTCACCAAACGGGGCCCAGCCGCAGTCAGTCCCGTTGTCTGGGCGCTGGTGAGGGGCGATGTCAGTGGCTTTTTGGCTCTGGCTGTTGAATTCGACCTCACCCTCATTCAAAGCAGCACAGTACCTGTGGAGTGCACCCTAGGACATCCAGGGGAGGACAGAAGCCAGAGAGAGCGTGCTCTCGTGAGGTGCAGCAGGACGCAGCGCAAGAGAGCCGCCCCCTCTCAACAGCCTTCCCGGGGCAACTGCATTCTTGGGGGAAGGAGGCACCATCGGGGGCAGTCTGTCTGCAGGACCCAGGAATGCCTGCCGTGAGTGAGGTTTCTCGGGCTCTCCTGAGCACACACACAGCAAACACAGCACGTAAAGATGACTGCTTAGAGCAGGTGCACAGCCGAAAGCTGACTGCCCCTCATCCTTGGACCCCCTGCTCAGGATGGAAGAATGGATTCATTTTGCTAGATTTATACCACTGAATACTGCCCAGCAATACAAGAAAAAAGTTACAGGTTTACACAACAATGAGGATGAATCTCACAGACAAAATAAGCCAGACACAAAGGAGTACAAACTGTGGGACTCCGTTTATGAAGTTCAAGATCAGGAAATGGGAAAAAAAAAAAAAAAAAAAAAAGAGGAGGATTGGCACGGATGTTAGCTCAGGGCTGATCTTCCTCACCAAAAAAAAAAAAAAAAATCAGGAAATGAATCCATGGAGACGCTGGTGAGAATCATGGTTACCTGGAGGAGGGTTAACGACAGGGCACAGGGAGCCTTCTGGGAGCTGGAGTGGGGCCAGACCTTACCCTAGGTGATGATTACCTGGGTGAGGATGTACATATTTGCCAGGGTAGATACTTAAGATCTGTGTACTCTACTATGTGCAAATCATAGCTCAATAAAAATCAAAAGCTGGGGCAGAAGGCCACCCGCTCAGCAAGTTCTCCATGGAACCAGCAAGCAGGCAGGGCCCAGGTGCTCCTCTGAGAGGCTGTGGGCAGCAGGGGAAGTGTAAGGCTTGGGAGCCTGATGACTGATTGTCTGTTAGCCTGAGCAAGGTGCTCCCATCCCTCCTCCATCTCCTCACCTGCAGCCAGGGCTGCTCCCCCTCACTGACAGAACAGCTACTGGGATCCGTGATGCTGAGCACCACGTTTTCAGCATGCTGCTTGGGACCGAGTGGCCCATGAGAAACGGCAGCCATGGCAGTGGGGCCTGGAGGCAAGCTTGTGGCTGGGGGAGACCCACCAGGCATGCCTGGAGGAGTAGGCAAAGGGGACGTGTGCAGGGCTCTTCCTCACCTCAGGGTGCTCCTCAGGAAGAGGAGCTGACACTTCCAGAAAAGTGCCACATGACAGCCGGGGCCCACCTTGTAATGGGGCAACCTGAGTAACAGGTAGCTTGTTCCGTAACACACAGGAGGCCACAGACCAGACTCTACTGTCTGCTGTTCAGCCTGGTGGTCACATGCGTCCCCTCCCCAGGCGGCCTCCCGCTCCCACTTGTCTCCTGCTGTGTGTTTTCTGGTTTTTTTACTATGAGTGGCTCAGATGAACCGAGCCATCAGGTGTAAGCGAGGGTGGAAAGGAGGCATCCTCGAGGTCAGGGAGGTAGCCCTTAGGGGGAGCGGGAGTCCTGAAGGAGGAGGCCTTTAGTGAGCCGGAAGCTGAGAGAGGCCCGGGGCCTGGCGGGCTGGGAGGAAAGCTGGCCCCACACGGGGCATCTACCCAGGGTCAGGACCTGGAGCAGGGGCAAGGAGCTCCAGCCCTGTTCACCCGGTAGGTGGCAACCAGAAGTCCCATCCACCACCTTCGCTTTGTTGGGCACCTCGTCTCTTCAGAAAGGAGTGGCCAAAGAGGCTGGCTACCTCTGAAAGGCTGCCCTTGCCAGGTCCCTGGTCAGCCTGGTCTGGACACAGGCCACTGAGACCTGGCACAGCCCATGGGACCCAGCTGCTCTGTAGTCACGTGGCTTTGTCATCATCACTGGGCTCTTCTGCTATAATTTAAACACTGGTCTAAAATACTAGCCAAGGGCTCTGCTTTACAAATTCAAAGTAGCTATTTGCCAAATAGCTTTCCTCCGGAGGGCTCGTCTTCCCCAGGCCAGCTGGGTTATCCCTGATTACTCAGGGCCCCTTCCCTGCTCCTGCCTGAGCTCAGCACTCACCCAGGTGGATGTGACTATGAACTCGGGAGGGAGCCCAGGGGAGGCCCGCAGCCCTTCCTCTCTGCAAAAAGCTGGCATTTTCAGCATCCCCCATCTTCACCCTCAAGGTCAGGTGTTTCTGCCTGTCTTTCCTGCTGCTCCTCACGAAGTCACGTGGGCCAGACCCTGAGGCTCCACCGATGCCATCCACCTTTCACTGAGAAAGCCTCAAGAGAGCTGGGAGGGAGCCCGTGAGCAGGGCTAGAGTGGGATTTCTCCCACACGCCTTACACGGAAGCAAGGGAAAAGGGGTGCTGTAGACACTGCTTCAGATGGGATTTTCACGTCCTCTTTCATCATTTAACATTCCCAGGGAGGAACCATCCATGGGAAATAGAAAAGATGAGAAATGACTTCTTTTTGTTTCATAAATAAGCAGAAAAGGTTTTCTGTTTTGGTTTGTCCCGTGATGAGAGGTGGCCTAGCATTCTGGCCAGGGACTCAGGCTCTGAGCTGGGACCTGGTGCCACTGCTGGCTTCCGACCGTGGCCAAGTCACGTGAACTTGCTACCTGCAGTTATGAAGCTGGTACAATCCGGCCTGTCCCAGTGCTGCTGTAAAGATGAACTACATGCGGAGAGAGGGGTCCCCAGCCATGGAAAGGGCTCAGTGACAGGCAGCTGTGAGGGCACCTGTGAGTGCAGGAGCCCGCCCGCAGAGCGAGTCCACTTAGCCCCTAACCTCGTTCAGCTCCTCTCCCTCCCCAGCCCCCCTCTTTCATATTTGAAATGCAATTTCCTCCCCCTTACTCTGTTGAAAGGCTGCAACAAAAGCAATAAAAGATTATTACTCCAGCATAAAGGGTTCTGAGGATATTTAAATAACCACGTATTAGTTTTCAACAACACTGTTATATTTTAATATTTCAATGAGTTTTATTCCCCAAACCTGGTGTTTGACAGAAAATTAAGGATTAATTAAGCTAAGATGAACTGATCAGAAAAAACCCTGCAAGAGGAACTAATTCTTACCATGAAAAATCATTCAGGGGGAGCTAGTTCTTTGCTTTCATAAAAGCAGGCTCCTTTGCAAATTTTTTACACAAGTGCCTTTCAACAGATAACATAAAATTAATCAACATGTTACACCAAGCAGTTATTAAAAGTCGATTAATCAAAAGACTATGTGGTGGGGGCCGGCCCGGGGGCGTAGCAGTTAAGTTCGTGTGTTCTGCTTTGGAGGCCCGGGTTTCGCTGGTTCCGATCCTAGGTGCAGACCTGCTCACCGCTCATCAAGCCATGCTAGGGTGGTGTCTCACGTATAGGAGCTACAACTCTACAACCATGCTACACAGCTATGTACTGGGGCTTTGGGGAGAAAAAGGAAAAAAGAGGAATATTGGCAACAGACGTTAGCGCAGGGCCAATCTTCCTCAAAAAAAAAAAAAAAAGACTGTGGTAACTGAGGAATACATTTATGAAACGCCAAAGGAGGAAGAGCAGAATAGAACATTCTAGGTACACGATCCTCACAATTATTTAAAAACGTCTGGGTAACACACAATGGAACAGCAACAACAAAATAAACAGCAAGACGCCAGAGGGCCTGGAAGGTGGGGAGTGGGAGAAGACAGGTGTCATACGTGATGGGAGAAGACAGAAAAGAGCCACAAAGTCGCAGAGCACTGTGCGCAGGGGGAGGGGCGGGGACAACGGTGAGACACGGGGGATTTGCACTCCTCTCTCATCTACATGCTCCCTCCCCCACTCGAACCCCTCCCCCAGCACTGGACAGCAAAAGGGCAGCATGTCCAGGGATGATGGGCAGGCAGCTACAACAGGAACTTTCCTTCCAAAGACGACACTAGAGAAGACCCAACCTCCATGAGTTCTACACTTGCACAGGTCCAGGCAGCCACTTAGGCACAAATATTTTTCATAAGAATGTACATTTAATGAAGACTCTATTCTTTAAACTCTGAACTTGAGCAGCTTCACAGTGAGAAACTCTACTTTCATTCACTCATTCACTCCAAAAATAGGGGCTGGGCACCTCGTGGGGCTCAGCCCTGCCTGGCCCTAATGCTACAGCGACGCTGTTCCTTCTCTGTAACTGAGAGATCCAGGCAGGAATCAGGAAGGGGTACAGAAGATGTGGAGAGGCGACCATGAGAAGGGCAGGATGGTCAGAGCAGGGGATGCAGGCCTCATCAGTGCCCCCAGGAGAGGGATTCTGTCAGTTTCACTCCATCTTCCATGACACCTAGTGAGAGCTGAGTGTGTGCACACATGTGCGTGTGTGTACATGCGTGTATACACAATCTACATGGAGTGGATGTGTTTAGTAAACTTTCTACAGCTCATTAGGTTGTGCTGGTCCACTGATTTTAAATTGTCCTCTACACTCCTTTTATAAGGCTCTGGGTTAAAAAAACTTTCCAAAGCATTATCCAAAAGAAGTCTGAGAAGAGAAATGACAGCTTGCTGCCTGCTATGGTCTAAATGTTTGTGTTTCCCCCAAATTCATATGTTGAAACCTACTCTCAGAGTGATGGCATCAAGAGGTGGGGCCTTTGGGTGAGTGGAATCCTCAGAATGGGCTTAGTGCCCTAATAAAAGGGACTCCAGGGAGCTCCCTCGACCCTTCCACCATGTGAGGATATAAGGCAGCCATCTGCAAGCTGGAAAAGGGTCCTCACCAGAACCCGACCATACTGGCTCCCTAATCTGGGACTTCCAGCCTTCAGAACTGTGAGCAATACGTATCTGCTGTTTATAAGGCACCCAGTCTCTGGTATTTTGTTATAGCAGCGTGAGCAGACTGAGACACACCCCGTGGGAAGATCAGAGAAGCTGTGCCCCATTTACACCAGCACACGAACGTGGTCAGGTCGTCTGAGTCCATCACAAGTGCCACATGAGAATGGACCAAATACACACAGGCATATGCAAACATGTACCCACTCCCACAGGTGCGCTGAAATACACAGGGAAGCTTCCTGGTCGTCGTTTATGTTTGGAATCATTCTACATTGACTTATGTCCACCTTACCCTTCTTACTCAAAATACCTCCTGGAAGTCTTTCTGGATTGGCTCTAATTCTTTTAAGTAGTTGCACATATCACAATATGGATTTGCCATAATTTATTCAAACTTTCACCTGCTGATTAGGTTCACATCATATCCAGTGGTTTTTTTTTATTGCAAACAATGCTACAATGAGGACGCTTATGCAAACACTCCCAAGTACTGGCACTTTTATTTTTATGGGCAAGATTCTCATCGTAGGACTGAAGGACGTGTATTTTTTTATTTCAATGGGTGTTACCAGAATGCTTTCCAAAAGGCTGTAACACACTTCATTGAAAGTCTTTTCTCCCCATCGCTGCCAGCAACAGGGCCTATTACTCTTTTAAATGTTTTGCCGGTTGGTGGATATAAAGAGATCTATTGTTACTTTAACTGCATTTGTGAAGAGTAGCATGCCTGCACACAGTTCATTCAGCTCCCTTGTCTATGAACTGCCTCTTCATCCCCTCTGTTGTTCCTTTGGACCCCTAAGATGGACAAAATTTTGTTCTTGGATTTTTACTTTTTATTTTTTACATTTAAATCTTTAATCCATCTATCTATTTTTTTTTTTTAATTTTATTTATTTATTTTCCCCGAAAGCCCCAGTAGATAGTTGTATGTCATAGCTACACGTCCTTCTAGTTGCTGTATGTGGGACTCAGCTTCAGCATGGCCGGAGAAGCAGTGCGACGGTGCACGCCCGGGATCCGAACCCGAGCCGCTAGCAGCGGATCGCGCTCACTTAACCGCTAAGCCATGGGGCCGGCCCCATCTATCTATTTTTTATAAGACAAGGATTCAACTTTATTTCTTCTAGATGAGTAAACGCTTGTGCCAACAGCATTTATTAAATAAGCTACACTTTTCCCATTGCCTCTGTCGAACATTCCATATTTTCCATTCTATTCTACTGACCTCTTTGTCTATTCTTGTGCAATACCGTAATAATTTGATGACAGTGGCTTTAAAAAATGTTATCTTTTTCACACATTCCTTGGTAATTAATTCTTGGACATTCTTTCATGTAAACTCTGAGGTTATTTTATTCAATTAAAAAAGACACTGCTGGGGCCGGCCCTGTGGCGTAGCGGTTAAGTGCGAGCGCTCCGCTGCTGGCGGCCCAGGTTCGGATCTCGGGCGCGCACCGAGGCACCACTTGTCAAGCCATGCTGTGGCGGCGTCCCACATAAAGTGGAGGAAGATGGGCACAGATGTTAGCCCAGGGCCAGTATTCCTCAGCAAAAAAGAGGAGGAGTGGCATGGATGTTAGCTCAGGGCTGATCTTCCTCACAAAAAAAAAAAAAAAAAAAAGACACTGCTGAGATTTTCATTGGAGTTACATTCTATTTAATATTAATACTGGGAACACTGGAACTTTTCAGATAGCAAGTTTCCCACTCAAAGCCGTGGTATGCACTTTCAGCTTTTCCGGCTGTGTTTTCCATCTGCCACAGAGGATTTTATAGCTTTGTTCTCACAGGTCCTGTGTGTGCAGAGAGGGCTGGGCACCCACACTCAGACCAGTCACCGTTACTATCCCCCGGGCACAGGGCTCCCTGCAGCTCCCTGAGAACCTCCCTGCTTTCAGGTGTCTGCTCTGGCTGAGCCTGGGGGGAAGTGCCACCCAAGGTGTCCAGCTGGCATGGTGCAGGCCCACCCGTCTGCTAGCTCAGTGAGGAGGCCGGGCTGGGGCAGGAGCAGAACAGAGAAGGGAGGAGGGGCGCACCTGAACCCCACCTCCCCCCAGCCCTGTTTGCATCATCACTTTTTCTTTCTTTTTGCTATACTAAAATCAGAAAAATAAAATGTATCAGCAGTGATTAAAGGTAAGTCTAAACAGTTATGGTGGCCTAATCTGACACGATATGGCACATCACTCTATAAATGACATTAAAGAATGAATCATTTTATAATTCACAACCCCTGGTGATCAATTCCAGGTATGCAAATATATTTTAATTTTGTCTTGCTTATAATGTGCTAGGAAATACAGGCTATAGATAATTCAAACTGTTCTTTGGGTCAACAGATCATTATTAACTACTTCTAGTTTTATAAATAAGAGGCGCTAAAGCTTGTGAAAACTTTGTAAGGCATTATAAAGTTTAAGTTACCCTTATTTATCTTATGTAGGGTGATATCCTTATCTGTCTTAAAAGATGAAGAAACCCAGGGATTTAGCAGAAGGCCAATCCATATCCAGGCACATCTAAGGTGCTCAGTCAGAACATCTGGGTGTGGTACTGTGAATGTTCTCAGGTCTTCAAACACCCCAGAGACCGCTGGGCAGAGAGGTTAAGAGCTGAGACCTCGGAGTCAGCCCGATCCCTGAGAATTCACCTGAGGTGACACTGGCCTTGCATGAAAGAATTAAGCTCCTGAGTCTCAGGTCCTCATAAGGACACTCACAGGACTGCTGTGGAGTTTGTATTCAATAATGAACGTGTGCACCTGGTCACGCCACGGGGCTCAACAGGCGGCAGCTACGTGACTTGTGAAATACTTAGACAAGAGCTCCTCATGAAACCTCCCCATAAGTAAGCCCACAGCCCCCAACAGGGGAGCTGGAGAGTGACCTGGAACAATGCTACATCCCTTCTTGGCGAAGTGGGGACCCTCATGATCACCAGATGGAACCAAGTGTCCTACCGCAGAAATCCTCCATGGCCAGCTCACCATACTGCCTCTGTCCCAACACAGACCCTCCACCCACAGGCTGGTGGCTTCATGGTGATGCCCTACCCTCCCTCTAGGACTCCAGGCATTGGTCCCATAATCCAAACGCAGCCTTTCCAGATCAATCCTGAAACCCCAGGAAGGCTCCCTGACTACTACTGCTCCTTCAATTCTACAGCACTCACTAAGGCCTCTGCAGTAGTCTCTTCCATTTTATAACTTGCCTTGTTCTTGAGCCATATGTGTATTTCCTCAACTGGGAAGACAAGAAGCAGGAGTATTTAAATTTAGAGTGGCTGATCCTTGGTTCTGATTTTAGAGTCTCTGGTAGAGTGGATTAAGGCCCACCATCTCTCATTCCATCCTTTTCTCTCTTTTGAAAACCACATTTTTAAGGTCTGTAAACATGTCCATAGTCATTAAAACCTGGTATACCAAAAAAGTGAGAATTTTGCAAGCAACTTGAGGGGCATGGAAAATTCCTGCTTACTAAGGGTCAAGGAGGAATTTTAGAATCTTTACAGCAAATGGATGATGATGTTTGACATCCACTGGGAGTTCCTGGGGAACAGGGAACACAGAACTGTCCACAGAAGCATGGCCCCAGTGCTGCCTCTCCCACTGGCCTGCAGACTGGGAGGGCAGCTGTCCAGTGCTCAGCCACCCGGGGGAGTGCAGGAAGCACGAGTACAAAGGTCAACAGAATTACAGTCCTGGATCTGTATGCCAATGACCAGAGAGTTGGGGGCAGGGGGGCCACGGGGCTGTAAATGGGCTATCTTTGGCACTGGCCAATTTCCTTCTTCCTTCTACAAGAGAGAGTCAAGTGCCATTCAAGCCTGTTGACAATCTATAGGCAAAATGATGTAACTGCAAGGAGGGTTGGAAAGGTATCCTGCTTGTTCCCAAGGTATAACTTACGTAGGACTGTCTACTTTAATCTTCTCCACTCAAAGTTTAGTTAAATGCCTGTTTAACAACTTTCTGCCACTCATCACCAAACAGAAACCCAGTGTTCTAAGAATAATGGAGAGCCACCACAGCCAGACTTAGGGTCCAAAGGTAATGATCACAGAAGCGCTGTGGGAACGATTTACGATTGGATATATTTGGAGAGAAAATTCATACGAGATAGAACAAATATTGAACTAAGCTTTAGAACTCTGGAACTGTCAGCTAACGTAACAAAGTACACTACTTCTGAAATCACAAATCCTAAAATCATTTTAAAGATGTTAATTTCAGAAAAGAGAATCTAAAAACCACAGCAGCAAAACAACTGACTTCTAAACAGTCCATTTTCTCCGCTTAGCTCACCCGCCCCCCGCCCTCCCCTCCCATTGGCTCTTAACGTGACTAGTTCCCTACAGAGATCACAGGCGGGGGATGAAACTGAGGGCTCTTTATGATTTCTTACCTTAACTATGCTGATAGGCTTTCGAGATAAGTGGAAACTTGCATACAGCAAAAATGTCAAAATAAAAATGAAGGCTCGGTACCTGAAACACAAAACAGTGGCAGGAGATGACATAAAATAACATGAGATGCATTAAGAATACGTTATAACTGTATCCTTAAATTTTCTTATGCTGTATGTTATTCAGTCTCATATCAATTATCAATCCTATTTATAATGTCACTACAATATTACATCTAAAAAAATTGCCACTTTTGCTTTGTCCACATTGAAACTATTTAAACATTTATTAAAAAAAGAACTATAATCAAAGAGAAATTTGAGACTCAGAAGATGAACACATGTTTACAGAGCAGACAAAAAGGAATGATTATTTAGTTTGTAACAAAATTAACTCCAAGTACCTTGTAAGCCTGCTATCCTGGGATTTGAGATCACACTTTTTACTTTTTAGCTTCTATGCAACTTTTTAGAAGGACACAAGTGAGGCCGAAATATAAAGATTTCACTGACCTCAGTGAGAACAACTCAGTGATGCTGACAAGCTATGAATAAGGCTGATGACACTAAAAATATTGGCCCACAGCCCTGCTGCTCTTTCTGGTTTATGAGGAAAGCAGTTCAAGAGGAAATACTGAAACATATGGGAGACTACAGAAAAGAAGTTACTTTCGTAAGAAGGCCAAAGTTCATTCCAGTCTAAAAGTTTGAACCACTCTATAAAAAAACATTTCGTAGGGGAAGAAAACAGGTCAAGAGGAAAAATTATTGGGCAAGAGATGAAGACAGGGCCCCCCGCCAGGAAGTCACCCTCTGTGTGCTGAGGCCTCGCCCCTGACCCTGAAGGGCCGGTCCCATTCTGGTCTGGAAAAGCCAATGACTGTCAAATTGTGTGCCGGCTGGAATCAGTCATCACCCAAGGCGGAGGGAGGCACGGAGACAGAACAGAGAGAGGCACTGCTCCACCTCTGCAGAGGGCCATGTCCCCTGGGGAAGGCCTGCCATGCCAAGGCCCTGGAGGATGCCGAGAGCCCTCCTCCGAGAGCCCTCCTCCGGTCTCACGCCACGTTTTCAACGTTACCATTTACTCCTTAAGGGCAGCTTTCCGTGAATAACAGAAAGACTCCTGGGGGGCCTGCCTCTCTGGCCATCAGAAAAGGTAGGGGTCAAATAAATATTTCCAGATTTTTTTTTAAAATAAAGATACTTCAGGTGAGAAAAAAGCGTTGGTAGTACTGTGGGACTCAGACGGACAGCTCTAGAATACCTGCACCTCAGCGAAAGGGAACACCAAACGGCCTTGCCAGGCGCTCATCAATACTTGCTAACTGAATCCAGAAAGGCCCCACACTCTCTTCTTCATCAAGGAAACACACACTGACAGGTTTTCTAGGATTCTTTGCTCTCAAGCCCATGCCAATGACCAGACAGGAGAAAAATGAAACTATAAAAAATGAGTCTACAATTTATCCCAAAGAACAAAGACCACGCAGGTACAGTGGACTTGTTACAGAAGTCCAGGCTTTGTCCTTGTGTTTCTGAAAGTCACCCATTTTGGTAGGGAAGGGAGGTCTCTCAATTCCTTGCTTGAAGCTCTCTGTTGTCCCATGCACTGCTCCTATGCACTAGCAAGGAAGATTCTAGGCCACTGGAACTTGATGAGCCTTCAATACCCAAATTTTCAGACCATGGCTAGACTCGCTGTCACTTATATCCCCACTGGCTATAATTTGGGCTATAATGGGGTGAGTGTAGCCTAGCAGGGACCCTGCTCTGCCCCTATTTGATACAGGGTTCCCTTCTCCAATCTCCACAAGGAGTATGAAAAAGTTCTCAGACAGTTACCTCCAGCACCTCCCAAATTGAGCCTGAGAGAATTCCCAAATTGAGCCTGAGAGAAGAATTCGGAGCCCTCAAGGATGCCACATACCACTAGCTTACAGGTGTGTTATCAACCAGGAGGATCTGAATTTCATGCTCACTCAGCTGAGAAGGATTTTGAGAGAGCAGCTTTACTTAAATGGACCTTGGGTTCATGCTCTCCACTCTCTACCCAGACATAAATAGAATATTCTATTTATAAATATTCTATTTTTATTGTGTATTAATATATTTATTAAATGGAATAAATAAGCCCAGAAATAAAGAGCTCCTCTGTATGTCCAGATAAGGTCTGAAGAGCCCTGGGGCCCTGATACACATGCATTCCAAGGCTGTCATGGTGCCCAGGTTATCAGAACCTAGCGGCCAACCCTGGGCCAAGGCCCTCCATCTGCAGGCCTCTCTGCCTTCCATCCCTGGGCCTCTGCCCTCCATCCCTGGGCCAACGCCCTCCATCTGTGGGCCTCTGACCTCTGTCCTTGGGACTCTGCCCTCCATCCCTGGGCTGCTGCCTCCATCCCTGGGCCTCTGCCTCCATCCCCGGTCTGTTCCCCACCCCCAACTGGCGGTTCTGCTTGTAGTGCTCACCAGCCCAGACCTGGCGGGGCGAAGGCAGTTCCCATGACTGCCTCTGCTGGGGGGATGCTGAGCTGGAGCACACGCCCTGGGATGTCCCATGAACACTGAGCCACAGAGCTGAGCAGCATTTGCCTGCAGACATTTTCAGTTGAGTTTTGTGTGGAAACAAAACACTGTGATGAGTCAGCCCCTTTGGGAGGGTAACTGCCTGCAGGTTAGCAGGGTTATCTGAGACAAGCTGTCCTGCAGAATCAGGGCAAAGGGTCAACCTATACTGCACACTGGAATTTTCCTAGACAGAACGTATGTCTCCCTAAGAGAAGCCCCTATCTTTTATTTAGCCAGTATGAGGCCAGCTCTACTTCCTGTATTTCCAAATCCGTCCTTCCTTCCTCACTCTCCTCATCTCATCTATGTAGCACTTGGGGAGGGGGAAGAGCCAGCAGCCCGAGATTGGGTTTCCCCTTCCAGAAGGTCTGACCACAGCCCCCAGTGCTCACTTTTAAACCACAGCAGCTGCCTCTGGGGATGGTGCCTTCCTAGTGGCCACCTCGAAGTGCCTGTCCTGGAGAATGAATAGACATTTCACTTCTGCAGGATTGTCCTGGGTTATGGGATTAAAGTCCTAAATAACCCTCCCGAGATCCTTTCCTATTCTGGAATTCTATCCTCACTTTCTTCTCTTATCATTCACGAAGCAAGGATTCTGGATGATATTTGTTTCCTTTTATCCATCTTGTACTGGATGGATAAATTCATGTCTACCCAAAACCTCAGAATGTGACCTTGTTTGGAAATAGAGTCTTGCAGATGAATTAGTTGAGGTCACACTTAACTCATGTATGACCTCAAATCCAATGAGAGCCTAGATGCAATTACATGTCCTGATAAAAAGCCATGTGAAGACTCAGAGACAGACAGGGAGGAAGGACACGTGATGATGGAGGCAGAGCAAGACAAAGAACGCCGAGGAATGCCAGCAACCACCAGAAGCCGGAAGAGGCAGGAAGGATCCTTCCCAGAGCCTTCACTGGAGCACGCCCCTGCTGACACCTTGGTCTCAGACTTCTGGCCTCCAGCACCATGAGAGAATAAATTTCTGTGGTTTTAAGCCACCCAGTTTGTGGTACTTTGTTACAGTAGCCCCAGGAAATGAATATAATCCAATACTTGTATTTTTGTTTTGTGTTACATTTAGGCTTGTGAATATTAAACAAATACAACTAAAAATGAATTAGCTGATCCTTTCATTCATCAGTGTTCCACTCACTTTTTGTAGTTATGTCTAACTGCAGCATTCTTTGCAACAACGCTACAAGAACAGTGTTTGGGTTAACCCCAAGTTTCTAGCAAAAGAAGCCTATCTCAGCAATGACAGCACAGGACAGGTGTCACCTTCAAAGCTTCCTTAGAAATGTTCTTGAATATCACATATGTTCCCAGATGAACAGCAGCCGGCTCCCAGTTAGAGACTCAAGGCGGCATATCTGTTTCCTGTTTGAGTGCTATTTATCTCAGTCATATGCAAATAAGGAATAAACAAATGCTTTAGATGAGCGTTACCGAGCAGTATGATTTGGCATAGAAATTAGTCCAAAAACATCCTTAATTTAGCAACAATGAACCGACACACAGCTGTGATGAGAGTTCTTTTCAGAGCATCCTAGGGGAGGCACACAATGTTGGTGATATTAGCGCTGGTAACTTGGTTAATGTGCTGTCTGCCAGGTCTGCCCCTCAGTGAAGCTACAATTTTTCCCTCTAAGTAACCACTCAGGAATCTGTGGGAACATACTTGGAGATTATGTAGATATCCTCCAAGATTCCTCCCCACACTGTGTGTCCATTGACCATCCTCTCCTGAACTAAGCATCCCCCTGATGGTTACATCACAGCCATGCTCCAGCTGAGTACTCCTGCTCTTCTTAGCAGCTGGCATTCTACTGTGGGGAGGAGCTTTCCTTCCTCCCACTTGTGCATTTATTTAATTATAGCAGCATGGACTCACTAGATTCTTATTTTGTTTAATGGGCTATAATTTATTTCTGGTATTGTTTATTTTAAATCTTGAATCATCCCAGACGTGGCCAGTGAGAGTGCCTTCACTTTTAAGCACTTCCTTATTTTCTGGCACAAGATATTCCAGGCTCATCTCACTTTCCCTGCCCCAGTCCTGACAGGAGCCCAGTCTCCAAGGATGCCTGGCTCCTGAAGTGGGAAATGGCACACAGAAACCAAGATCCCACACCAGGTGTGCTCACCGCTGCTGGGGTGCTGCTGCTCCCAGGGCCTCTCAGTGCGCAGGGATAGGGCATTTTACACACGTCATACACACACATACATACACAACCATATATATCTATTCCCCGTTTCTCTCCAGTTTTTCCTGATATCTTTAATTCTAATCTAACACCATATGATTCATTCAGTCTCTCCTCTGCCCATATTTGTAATTCCTTCACTGTCAGTGAGAAGCCGTCTCCTTTCTGTGGTAATCCTAACAAAAATGCATAATCTGAATTTAATCATAAGGAAATACCAGACACACCCAAAACAAGGGACAGTCTATAAAAGAAATGGCTTGTACCCTTCAAAAATGTCAAGGTCATGAGAGACAAAGAAAGGTCAAGAAATAGCTCCAGATTAAAGGAGACTAAACCCACAGGACACCCAAATGCAACGTGTAACCCTGGACTGGATCCTGGGTCAGGAAACGGAGCTAGGAAAGACATTATTGGACATTTGATATAATTTTGAATATAGACTGTGAATTAGATAATAGTATTGTATTGGTGTTAAATTTCCTGATTTTGATCTTTGTGCATAATTATATGAGAATGTCTTGTTCACAAGAAATATACGCTCAAGTATTTAGAAATAAAAGGGCCTAATGTCTGCAACTTACTATCAAAAGGTTCAGAAAAAACTGTGTGTGTGTATACATACATACATCTACACATACACACACAGATGAGAGAGGGTGGAGGGAAAAGCAAATGAGGCAAAACGCTAAGAATTTGTCTGCCAGTTGAGCCTGGGCCCCACAGCTCGATTAGACTCACTTCAACCGTTCCTCTGCCCCAGGTTCACTCTACTCAAAACTCCAAGTCCCAGGAGAGGGACCAGTAGCCCGCCCACCTGAGGTCATTGCCTGCCTCCTGTTGGACCTGCGCCGTACAAGGAAGGTCACGGGGATGGAGCCTCGAGGGCCTCTGTCGGCTGCCATATTGGGACGGAAAGTCCTGAGACTCGCCCAGCTATCACACTGCACACAGGGGAGGAAGTCGACTCCCCAAAGGAAATCAGCATGCTGCGAGGAAGGGGCAGTGCATGCTGGGTAGGAAAACCTAAAAAATGTCCTTCCCAGGAATGTTAAAGCCAACTCTCTTCTTTTACAGCTAAGGAAGCTGAGATCTAGAAAGGTTAAATAACTTTTAAAGGTTGAAGAGCAAGTCTGAGGCAGAGATGGAACAGCAATTAAGACAAATACTCTATATCCTTGCTACCCAAAGTGTGGTCTACGGACCCACGGCACCACATCTCCTGGGAGATGCAGATTCTCAGGCACCACCCCAGAGTGAGAACCTGCATTTTAACAAGTTCTCAGGGCGATTCACAAGCACATGAAAGGTTGAGAAGAATGGCTCTATCTTTGCAGGTCTCAGACCAAAAAAAAAAAAAAAAAAGAATTGGTGATATACAGGAGTTCTTTGTAACATTCTTATAATTTTCTTCCTTGAGTATGAAAATTGTATCAAAATAAAGTTACACTGAATCCTTTAACCACGCCTATAGGAGTAAACGTTCCTAATGCAGAATAACAAAGGCAAAAGTCAAAGAATAAATTGCATATCATTATGTAGTAAAAAAAAAAATAAATAAATAAAGTTACAAAACAGACAAAGAAGCTAAACTCCCTCTAAATAAAAGGTAAGTGTTTAACCACTTGTGGCTAGTTTGGCAGTAGACATGAGATGAGTCAACAAGGGAACTGCTCTGGAAAGCAGATGTCTGAGGCCACACCTGAGACCCTGTGGGGGCTCTAGCAACCTGCAGGGGCCTGAGAAGGTGCAAAGGGCGTGCAGGCCATGAGGGGTTCTTGTGATGGAGATGACGGGGTCCAGAATATGCCACTATGGCATACAGATTTATTTTGAGCAGAAAGCATGTGAGTTCCTGAAATCTCTTATCTGCCTAAAAGCAGAGCCTCCTGAAAGAACTCAGTTGTCATAACTTCCTCCCTGGGAGCAATCAGGGGAGATGCCTCTTAACACCAGAAATGAGAAGCACGCATACCGCATTACAGAGACATTGTCAAACACTATCAAATCTCCCATCTACTCTCCGAAGGGCCCTTCTAACTTACCAAAAACTCATTGTTTTCCCATAAGCACCCTTCTCTTCCCCTTTATAATGGTATATAAGCTCCAAATTCTAACAGTCCATGTGAGTCACATTTTTCTGTGAACTCCCATACAAACATGATTAAATCTGTCTCTTCTCTTGTGAATCTATTTTTTGTCAGTTTAATTTGCATGCTCCCAATGATCGAACCTAAGAGTGTCAAGGAAAACCTTATCCTTCCCCAAAGAGATCAGCTGGGGAGAGAAACCATTGCGAGTGTGGGTTAGAGGCTAGAGATCCCAGCCATAGCCTCTACCCTTGTCACCCGCTTCCTCCAAGAAGTATGGGATTCATGAACCCACCATGAGAAGGATTCTCAGAGCATGTAAGGAACAGTGCTCTTGGAACAGAAACTGGTGTTCTGGTCTGCATCTAACTTGTTTAGATTTCATTTTCTCTCTGAAAGTTCTGCCCCTGCAAGGCCACTCATTGAGTTCAGAATTAATATACTTATTTCACCCACAGCCATGTTATAATCCTGCCAGTAGTCAGTGGTCATTTTTCTGTGGGGAACCATGATTATTACAGAAACCACTGAAGACCACAAAGGAGTCCAAATGCTATCTGTCACCGCCAGAAACAAAGATGGACAACTCAGCAGTGTTCCTGGTCACAGCTTCCACCACCGATAGGCAATTCAACAGTTACGAGGAGGCCCGCCATCCATGTGCGTTTTATAATGAAACCGGGGGAGGAAAGCCAGCTACACGGCGGCCCTCACCCATACACAGCACCACGCCAAAGGACGGACCTGCCAGGACTCACCACTGATCTCGGGAGAATGAGATGATGAAGCGAATGCCAGCGGGCAGTCGAGCCATTTACGTCGCTCTGACCACGGAGCTTCCGTCATGAAATAGGATGCTTCATAAATAGGCTACTAATCCTGGCTCCAAGTGTGTCTCTCTTGCCCCTGCAGCTCACACAGGCTGGAAAGCACGTAGAGAAGTCCTGTTGGGTCTCACCTCCCCTCTTCCTTCTGGCAGAGGCTCAGCTCTCTACAAGGAGAAGGAAGAGTTGAAGAGTCAGGTGTTCTGACAGTGGCACTGTTGATGGCCCTGGCAGAAGTAACTCCCTGTATGGTTGTTACCCAGCACAAATCCAAGCTGCACTTCCAGGGCAACAGGGAGCTCCCACCCCGAGAGCTCTCAGGTGGAAGCAGAGTGTCTGCCGTTGGGGGCGGCTGAAAGATCACTGAAACGAATTTCACATGATGTTCTGATGATGCATGAGAACACTGATTTCATGTCCAGCTGGAAGGAATCTAGAGATCAACCATTCACTCTTAACCACAATATTCTGCAGAACTAATATTAATATTCACATGAAACCAAGTATGTGTCCCGTGGTTACACCATGTGCTCAATTACCAGAGCATGCCAGGGAACCGGACATGCTCAGCCCCACCCACTGTGGACCAGACCACGTTTGAGCCACAGTAACAGAAAGGAACTGGCCGGGACAAGATGGCAGGTCATCAAACCAATCATTTAACTGCGGCTTTGCAATTGAATCGAAATGCATCTAATGCTGTGGGAATGAACTTCATCTCCTATCTGCCTCTTCGTGTCTCATCTCCTGTGGTTACCTCAGAGGTCATGGAAAATGACCCCAGTCTAAAGCCAGGGCTGAAGGCAGAGCAAGACAGGAAGGAATGGGTGAGGAGGCCTTAGAGCCAATGAGGGGCCCCCGCACACCAGGCAGGCCTGGTCTTCTGTCCCAAAGTCAACCTTGTGTTATTGTGTTATTTTTCAGTTTCTTGTGAAAAAACACTTTTGTTATTTTTGTATTTCTCTTTTATGCTTGGCGACAAGAAATATTTTGGACCAATGCATTAAATAATGCAGTACCCAGTGCATGCAGAAGCATGAATTGTTTATCTTAATACTTATAGAAAATTCCAGGTTATGTAATTTTTTAAAGAAATCTACTTTTGAGAAGACAATCTCTAAAGAAGCTAAAGTTTATTTAATGTCTTCAAACAACTTCCTTGGGATAAGTAATAGACAAGTAATAGCAAATAGTCCAGATCTGGAGGAATTAAACTATATTCCCAATTGCCCGTGTCTTCCTAGTTAGAACAGGTTCCCCACGTTCATTCCTGTCCTCCCTCTAGAGTGAGCTTTCAAAAAATGCTCCTTCTTCAATACTAACTTTTAGAAAACAATTCCAGATTCTCGCCAAGCTTCCATCCCCCCCATCTCCTCTCAGGGAGGCAGTGAGGCCCCCTCTGCTCCAGCCGGAACCACATCTGTGCTCCTGCCACAGCTGTTCACTCCACCTGGAGTGCCACCTGCCCCCACGGCTGACCTCGGGCTGGGTAATCCTGGGCACGTCACTGAAACTTGCTGCTCCCTCACCTTCCCTGGCTAAAAAACAGGGACGATGGCCCCTATCTTTCAGGGTTGTCATAAAGAGGAAATGAGATAACCCAAGGAAAGCCCTTAGCACTGAGCCAGGCACGTAGAGACGCTCAATAGGCAGCAGCTGGTGTCACTCTTCTTGCGAACTCAGGAGAGGAAGGCCCAGGACTACAGGTGACCGCCCCATTCCCATCACTGAGTTCAGAACCTAGCACAGAGCAAGTGCTCAAGACATGTGCTGAAGGAATTTCCACAAATTCATGCTTCAAAACTGATTTTGCTCAAATCTTTAGATTTAAAAAATATTTTACTAAAACTCTGCTCAAAATGAGTGGGCTCCTGTTTGGGCCTAAACATACTTTAAGAAACAATTTCGTGATGATGACTTCAAAGTAAAAGATTTGGTTTAAATTTTACGATGCCTGAAAATGGATAGTCAGAATCCAAATTTCTTCCTCTGTCCAAACACTGCTTCTCTAGGCACAACTTGTCTGGAAATATTCTATTGCCATCTACTGAATCAATTAATCAACAAACTTCAAGTCAATTCTGGCAAAATCTGTAACTAAAAAAAAAAAGAAAAAAATCCAGGAGACACTGGAAAATCAGCTGAGAAAAAAATCTCGATTTCCTTTTAAAACAATGCAGGTTCTTCCCCCTGTAAAACGGGTGAAGGTAAGTGCTATAAATTCTACAGTAGGTGCAATTAAAATGGATCAAGACAGTGATTCTACATGTAAGGTATTAAGAGCTCCATTTAACAAGGCCCCTTCCTCCAAAGCCTGGGCAGTGCCCACTGACAACCATTCCACTGACAGCTGGTCCAGACCTCTGGGTCATCAGTAACGACTTAACGAGCTCTCCTGTGAGCCCCGTGACCCGCCTGGGGAAGAGGCAGCACGCTCACTTCAGAGAACAATGAGGTAGGCGGCTTGCCCGGGTCAGCTCCACTCTGTGGGGCAAATTCAGGTTGGTCCAGTTTCCCTCAGTCCCCTCCTCCCTCTCACCTCTCTTCCTCCAGCCCATTCTCTCCAAAGAGAGAGCAGCAGAACAGCAGCAAATCACTTGGTTTAAACCCTGGTTTTGGCACACAGCCCAAGTACATAAAAAGAAAACACACTTTAAAAAAAAAATCGATCTTTATAGGCACTCCTGGAACTCACCACCCCAGTAGGGAAGTGTCAGAATATCTGGTTTCATTATACTGTCAAAGATAGCAACTTCAGAGACACCCCCTCACAGCATCTCCATTAAATCTGTGAAATGCATGTTTTTACACCCATCTTACCCAAAAGCACAACCTCGTCATCTAGGAGGGCAATATGCACCATCGAGCCCCACCCTCATACCCACCACTTGGTGGTTTATCAGCCTCCAACAGTTCGGTGTACTCTTCGGAGATGAAAATAATGAGACTTGAAAGCTGGCAAAAGTACCACGGAAAGGGTCTTTCCAGAACTGAAGCGCTGTCGTGAACGAGCCAAGCAGCCCCCTGCGTATTTTAAACAACCTACTTAAAGACAAAGTTTTTAAAGTAGATCTTACTTTAAGGCAAAGATGGGTGGTAAATGCATGTCCCCCCAAAAGTTTTCAAACTTTTTTTTTTGGCTGAGAGGGAATACTTTGGCTGACAGTGAAAATACTTTCTCTGGCTTGTGCTTTAGAGGCTCTACCCAATATTGAAGATTAATAGCAATGGCCACTATCTCTTTCCTGTGGCTTAAATAGGAAGAGGAATCCTCTATCTGTACCACTGTCCTTTCCCCACTAACAAACAACATCACAGATGGTCTGCACAAAACAGAACCTGCAAATGCAGTTCCAAAACTGCACGGTGAAACATGGAGGTCTAGAGCTGGGGTTTCAAGCTTCACCTAGAAGGAGATTAACGAAGGAGCAATGAGGGAAAATCTAATATAGTTACCGACTCGAGCAACTTCCCACAACCTAAGTTCAAGGGCAGGCGGGCACTTCCAGGCAGTGAGCTCTGGGAGACTACAGGAAAGGCAGGCTTTGGAATTCCACCTTTAGAAATTCAAACCTGGGCGTGGGGTAAGGGACCTTCCCGAATCCTCCGTTCAAATGCAAATCCTGACCACACCGCCTCGGTCACCGGGTCACCAGGATCTGCAGCATGGCCGCAGCGGTTGGGAGGGCAGGAAAGTGGGAGAAGGAGGGAAGAAGAGCCCGGTGGTTGGTGGCGGGTGGCTGGGGGACTCTCCGGCGCTTTAAGCCCTATACATCCAGAAAGTCGCTGTCACTCGTGTTGCCCGGGAGGCTCACGGGCTCCGGGAACCAGCTGCTCAACAAACAACCCAAAGGCCCAGGGTGCTGGCGCTCCGAGCCTCCCGGGTGGCTTTTCGCGCCGCCTCCTCCCCAGCGGCTGGTCCCCGGAGGAGGCGGACCCCGCGGGCACACCCACGTCCCCCGAGCGGCGGACAACACGCGGGGCTCCTCCTGCCGGGTCTCTAGACCCCCCGCTGTCACCGCGGCCCGGGAGGGGGCGGGGCAGGACAGCTCAGCTCGCCCCTCCCGGGGCTCCGGTGGGCGGCGGCCGGCCCAGCACCGGCTCCCCTGCCTCCACATGCCCGGGATCCCCGCGCCGCCCGGGTCCGGGGCCGCCGGCGGGGGCGCCCGGCCGCTCCTCTAGTCCCCTCATTCCAAAGACTTCCCGAAGGCACGGAGAGCTCGATACCGCCCGGCCCCGGCCAAGGACCAGCACAAAGACGCGCGGAGGCGGAGCAGCCGGCAGAGCGCAGGCACCCGGCCCCGCGGGCGCGGC